GTCAGTCTAGTTTAACTGGAAATAAAGTCTCAACAGTACTCAGTTAATAAAGAGTTTATTAGATAATCCATGTGAACCCCAGAAGTAGTTCAGCAGTCTGCCTCTATGAGAGCTGTTCCTGTAAACACAGGATGAATTTAGTTTATATAAGTAGGAACAGTGAGTCATTGGCATTAAGATCATAATTATTCTTGACAGGAGGGCATCTCCTTCTCAGTTATCCTAAATAGATGCTGATGCTGGAGGCAGACAGAGCTGGATTTAATCTCTTCCTTTCTTTAAAAAAAAAAAAAAAAGGCAAGGACTGGAATACACTGCTGAGGGGAGCAGCAGGTGAGACAGGAGAGGTCTGTGTGCCATGTGGGTTGCTCCCTGGGATCGAACTTGTACTGCAGTGGCTGACCACTCTCTCTCTGGTGAATCCTCTCCCCCCACCCCCCCTACCCCCACCCTGCACCTCTGGCTTACACCCAGTTCTTGTATGCTCGTATAAATAAATCTTAAAAAAAAATGCAAGGACTGTCCTACCTGGTGCCCTCAGGACTAATAACAGGCTATCACCGCTGCAACCTGAGTTTGATCCCCAGCCAGGGAGCTGCCCCACATGTTGCAGCAGATCCCTCCTCTCTTCCCACTGCTCCCCTCAGCCAGTGTATTTCAGTAGATCCATCTGTTCTGCTACCCACTCTGTCTCTGGGGAATCCTCTTACCCCTCTCCCCGGCACCTCTGGCTACACCCCAGTTCTTGTATGCAAAAAAAAAAAAAAAAGCAAGGACTGGGCACCTATTGTTAGCCCTTTCTCATGGGACTCCTTGGTCATTGTGGGGTGAACCTTGGCCTTGAGGTAGCGGGTTCCTGCATCGGGATGTGAACTTGGCTTCAGTCTCCTGCATGCTAGACCGGGGCTGGGGCTTTGGGGGCCAGAAAATTTCACACTCTTCACATGGGAAATATCTGTTGAGTGCATCACTGTTTAATCTTGATGGAGTTACCCCAAGATTTGTCTTGACAACTGACATCATCACGAAATGTCTGGTCACACAGAGGCCCAGCCTGTCAGAGTTCTGCATTGCCATTGAATAAATTTGGAGTCTTTTTGCAATATTTTGGAAAACCAATTCTTGATTCCAAATCATGTGGTGAACACAAGACATAATTGCACCTTCCTATGCCTGGAGCTATCCTTTCATGAACAGAAGGTGGCCACCAGTCCACACAGCAGAAAGTTTATGATTCTAAAATTTAAATTGGCAAAAATCATTGAATGTGCATATGTGGTGTCAAGGTGAAGAGCCAGTCCATTTTCAGATCTCAGAAGGTTTTGTGGGGCCTCCCTGGTGGCATAGGGGTTAAAGACACAGCACTGTCAAGCTCTGGCCAGCCACTGCAGTATGAGTTCAATCACCAGCCCGCCAGGGAGCAACCCACAGGGCACAGCAGACCTCTCCTGTCTCCCCACTGATCCTCTCAACAGTAGATCTGCCTATTCTGCTCCCCACTCTCTCTGGCAAATCCTCTCACCTCCCGCACCTCTGGTCTACACTCCAGTTCTTGTATGGATAAATAAATAAACCTTTAAAAAAAAAAGAAAGAAGGTTTTGGGTTGGGAGTAGGTGTGGAAAGCAGAAGGGAAAGAAAAAATGATGGTAATTATGCATTTCTACACCAAAAACACTTCACCGGCCCTAAGTACTGAAAAATGTCCTGTGTCCTTGTCCAGCCTCTTCCCAGCCAGCACTCTCACCGCTGCGAGCATCAAAGGCCTATTTCTCACTTGCTGTCCAGACGGAGCGTAACTTCTTTGTCACTCCCGCTGGCCCTGTGAGCACGCGGGCCCGGCCTGTGCAGCGTTAGACACACTCCCTCTGCGGCCACGAGACTGCGGGTGTCTTGTCTTCAAGCTTCATTTTCTCTCCTTCACATGGAATCCAGTAAATCCTCCTTAATTCATAAGAGCTCTTGGCTATCAAAAGAAAGGGTCTTATTTTTTTCGATGTATACAACAATACTAGATTAAAAAAAAAAGCTTAACATTTTAATGCAAATGTGTGAATGAAAAATATCTTGAAAGAGCTGTGATGCGTGATACCCAAGCCTCTCTACGAAATGTACGAAATCCGAAATGTTTTTGCCCGTGCTGCGCGCTGGTGGGCGTGCTGTTGTTGACGGAAGCATACCAAAATATTTTCCCACGCTCTGTGACTGCACTCATGTTTACTCTGCTTTGTTTCTGTGCCTCTCACACGTAGCTGGAACAGGTCTGTGGGCCTTCTCAGTGCATGCAGACTGCACAGACCAGCTGCAAGGTGAGGGCCGCTTAGATGGATGTGTAACCCTAGCTGCTCCCTTTAACACAGTAGCTTAGAGGGCTCGTCGGTGCCGCCATTGAGCAAGTCCTGAGCCATGTAACCCTATTAATTTTTGACATTTCTTGGCTTTTTAGATGTTCAACAAGTCCTCAAAGCAAGTGTATTCCAGTTTCATAAATGGCAGGTAGTTGTCAGCTCATCCAGTCAAGAAAGCCAGGTGTGAAGTAACCTCAGCCAGTTCACTTTATAACCTTCCATTGGTTTCCCCCCTGCAAGGTGGGGAGAGCCATCGGCTGGCAGGGAATTTGTGGGGTCTGTATTAGATCATTTATACAAAATGCAGAGTGACTCTGTGTTCACTGTTGCTGCTGCTGCTGTTCCCATTCTGGGGACCCCGTTAGGTCTTCCAGCCGCTGGGCTGGAAATTGACTGATGGCTGCTGTAATTGATTCATAATAGTCATGACTTCTCAGCTCTTTCAGGGTGTTCTGTACAAGTCTCTAAATTGCCGTGAACTTGCCCTGAACTCCCACAAGAACCTCGAGGTGACGCTCAGCTGGTTGCTGTGAGGGCAGCGCACCCGCCAGCCTCGCGCCAGATGCTCGGCCGAGAAGGGCCCCGTTCGGTTAATGATCCTGGTGTTTTTCTCACCGGAATATCTTGAACTTTAAACACAAAGGTTTCTGTAATTTCTAGACTTCAATCCCAAGTTTCAGAAAGGCAGTGCTCTCCTGACATCTGTAATTTCCCTGTCCCCAAATTGAGTGTTCTAAAAATTCCCATCTAACCTTAAGGCACACCCCTGCGGATCCCCGCGGTGAGATGCCAGGGCTGTGCGCCCACATCGGCACCAGCACGGTCGTTTCATGGATGTTTGGCTTCGCCAAAGTCAGTCAGTGCCCGGGTGGCTTAAATAACCATGAGACAAACTGCGGATGATTCCAAGTGACAAAGGGGAAGGGCTGAAGCTGGAGAGACTGGGGAGGAAAAAGAAGGAAACAGAGAGCGGGCACCCCTAGGAAGGGTGGCAGCCGGACACAGGCCCCCACACCCTGTGTGTGACCTTCATGTGTTTCATGGAGAGAAATGGGGCACTGACACTCTGCAGGAGGGGCCATCTGTTGTCTTGCTCCTAGGTGCCCTCATACCTGAGGCCAGTGTGCTCTGTCCCCACCCTCTCCTGGCAACTGCCCATGGGGCTTCCTGGGGCCTCCATCAGTTGGCCTTCATCTCCTCCCCTCCCCTCCCTGCACCCCCACATTCCCTACCTCTGTGCTCACTCAGGCTGCTCTGCTACCTTGGGCCCCCCAGTTTCTGAACCCATGGCTTAAAGCATGACTCTTTCCTTAAGCCCCCCGAGGGAGTCTCCTCTCTCCTCCTCATGGGGGTTTCCTCCACTGCGGCTCAGCAGCCACCCCTGGTTACTGACCCCTGTGGCCACCCACCACAACTGTGTGTCCAGACCAGCCGCACCCAAGTCTGGGCCAGCCCCAAGGCTTGCCGCCCGCCCTCTCCTCCCTTCTGTCCCGCAGAGCGGTGCTAAACTGGGGTCTCTTCCCGGGCCGGTGGAAGCGGGATGCCCCCACGTACTTAGGCACTAGTGCCGTCCTTTCATTAAATAGTGGGCTCTGTAGAGTCTACAAGAGCGACAAAGGGGATAAGGTGTCAGGGGACCTGTGACCTAAAGAAACAACTAGAACACTCTAGAGGCAGCCAGGAGCGGACCACCAACCCAGCCCGTGGGCACGAGCTTGCCCCCCTCGGAGAGAGGTACCAGCTGGAGGCCGCTCTCGCTGTGCTTGGTCACACAGCCAAATACTCGGGGTTTTTTTGTTTGTTTGGTTGGTTTTTTAAAGATTTATTTATTTATTTATTTATTTATACAAGCACTGGGTACAGTCAGAAGCGCGGGAGGGTGAGAGAATTCACCAGAGCCAGAGCGGGGAGCAGAGCAGGGAGCAGGACCAAAGGACACTGCTGAGGGGAGCAGCGGGCGGCAGGAGAGGTCTGCGCGCCACGTGGGACCCTCCTCCGGTGGCCTGGGAGCAGTTGGGGATCGAACCGGCGCCGCAGAGGCCGCGGGCAGCTTCGCAACCCAGCACTCAACCGCTGCGCCACCGGGGAGGCCCCCAAACGCTCGTTTTGTCTCCACAGAAATCCCCAGGCTGCCCCCCTGGTTAAGTGGAGGAGGTTTAGCACTGACATGGATGGCGCCACTAACAAGTCTCGTCGACGTCATATTCTGTCATTAGCCCACCTTGACGCTTGGGGCTGGAGGGGTCTTTGCTGGGTGACTGTCCTGGGCATTTAGCGGCATCCCTGGCCAATGGCAGCCCCCACCCCACTGGGACCACCAGAAACTGTCTCCAGACACTGCCAAATGTCCCCCGAGGCCAGTCCCTGCTGGCTGGGCGCACTAGCCTGACATAGCCCATCCAGGGCAGGGTCACTTCCAGCCACACAGCCCCCGCAGCTCGCACATGGAGTTTTTGGGGGGCTGCCCTTGGAGCTGCACTCAGTGCCGTGGTCACAAAGGCAGGAGGGACACCAGGTGCCCTGCTGGGAAGCGCCCAGCTCCATGATTAGGAACTTAGAGCTGATCGTCGTTTAAAGAGCCATGTGGAGGGATGATGTTCTGTACTTACCCCACTCCATTGGGGGTTTCACTGTCATTTCCATCTTGCCTCCAGCACCATCAAGAGGACCAGCTCTTCAGAACGCGTCTCCCCTGGCGCCCGGAGGGAGAGCTACGGGGACTCCAGAGGAAACCGCAACCGCACGGGCTCCACCAGCAGCTCCTCCAGCGGCAAGAAGAACAGTGAGAGGTGAGGCCCCTGCCCGCTGTGCGCCCTGCGAGCCCGCAGACCCCTCTCCCCAGGTGTGAGTCAGATGCCAGAACCCTAACGACTCACCCAATTCACCTGCTGGGAGCACTCTTGGGGGCTGGCGTCTCCCCAGACCACTGATCCAGCTCCAGGGGCGGCCGGTCCCCCTCCCCCTCAGCCCTGTCAGGAGAGTGCTGGAGCCGGGGACAGGCGGGTCTGCCTGGTGCCCCTTGCCTGGCGAGCAGGCAGCCCTCTGCCTGCCTGCACATCTGCTGGGCGCTGGATCTTCCCAGCACATCTGCAGCTGTTTGAACATTTGGTGGAGACTTCGAGTTGGCCGGCAGTGGAGTTTCTAGGATGGACTGGGTGGAAAGCTGTAACTTTATTATTTATCAGAAACTTTTTACTATTGAGCTGACACCAGAAATAGGAACCTTTTCATTCTGGTTTCATGAAATACATTTCTGAGTTTGCGTTTTTCTTGGAGGTTAGTTTGCCATGGTGTATGAAGGTATCTCTGAAACCGGTAGTGACATTTTATCAGTGATGCTGATTTCCTGCTCTGTACCAGCTTTGTGCTTAAGAACGTGTCACGCGCATGACATTCGTTTCCTGGAGGATACCCGCCTCATGTACTCCAGTCTCCCTTCATCATTAGCCCTGTGCTGCCTTTTATTTTCTCTACTGCATAAGGCTTGGGAAGGAACTGGACTTTCACAGGCGAATCACATGTTTTTTTCCAAATGTTCATCTAGGAAGAAGCCTTAGTCATAAGGCAACCGACTCCAAGCCACAGACTGTAAAATTCCACGTTTCTAGATCCCTTCTGCTTCCATCCTGTAAAGGAAGCAGAAGCTTTCAGTTTAATTCCCAGGGGAAGTCTTTTGTAGGGAGAGGCTGGGCTTCGTACATCTGAGGTGGGTCAGGTCCATGGATGGACAATCTCAGCACCACTGCAGCTTCAGTCTCCACGTAGCCTGTGAGCACGTCTCATCAGGAGATTATGCTAATCGGGATAATGCCTTGGAAATAAGGCCAAGCGGCTGCAGTGACCACTGAGGGCCCAGGAAGAAGCGGATGGCCTCTGGGCTGCTGGCCTTCGGGTAAGCTTGGGAGCTGGCCTGAAATGGCTGGCCCTTGGCAGTTCTTACATAACTGGCTCCCCTTCAGCACATCTGATTTCTATTAAGAATTTCCCAAAACAATCTGCATTGTTAAGCCCCAGGACTCTTTGATCTCCTAAGCCCTATGGCTTTGGTGATTGTGCTGAGTAAATATTTCCGTAGGAGGTATTTACAAAGGGAATTTTCTTTAAATGCCACAGTAGGAGACTCTGATTTGGAAATGAGGGACTGAGAAAATTTACTAATCATTTTCTAAAACAATCCTGTCAACTAAACATGTCCATTGAAAATTAGTCCTTTGTCTCATTAGAACCCAGGAGTAGTTGAGGCCACGCAGCGCTGAGCTGGCCAGGCGGCAGCAAAGGTTCGGAGGGCTGCCTTTCTGAGGGACTGCAGCGCTGGCTGTACCTGGAGGGACCGCGGGCAGAGAGCTGCTGTGGCTCACACAGACAGAGGCGGCTGCTGAGAAGCAACAGAAGTGAAGGTCAAGTTGGTGATTCGGCGGCTGCCTGGCCCCCTCGTCCTTCCTCGCTCTTCCCCGTGAGCAGCCCTGCTCAAGGCTGCTTCGCCCTCCTGCCAAGCAGAGCTGGAGACTGGTGTTGACTGGTGCCCGGTCTCTGGGACATAAAACCAGCTAGAAAGCTCTAGGGAGGGGGCTTCCATGATACTCCTTTTTAAACAGCATGGAATTTGGTGCCTCCTTGATAGAGCAGCCTCACATCTCCATCACACATTACATCTGTCCGTGGTCCCAGATGCTTTAACATCTGTCTGTGGTTCCAGGCCGCTGTCTTACACTTTAAAAGACTCTAAGAATGGCCCCCTGTCTGGTTACTCTAGACAGCGAGACGCAGTAGAAAGGGCGCCGCTTGGAGTGAAAGAGAGCAGAGGGCCAGCAAGCCAGTGCTCTGAGCCCCGCCTTTCCCTCTGTGAATTAGAGATTTTAGACCAAATCCTCTTGGGTCTTAGATGGGAATACCCAGCACAGTCTGACCCTCAGGAAGGGGGTGTCATGCAGTTGATAAAAGATGGGACCCGCAGAGCAAAGAATGTTTTTTCTCTTTTCTGCTCTGACCCACGTTATATGACATCCCCGTGAAGTGACACAGCCCTGAGTGCAGACAGATTTGGGCCAAATCTGTGACTGGGGAAAAGGAAAGAAATAGAAATCCCTTAGTGCCATGGTTGTTAACATCACACCAGGCTGAACGAGGGAGGGCCCTGGAGGGGTGACCTGCCCTCCTGGGCTTAGGGAGAGGCGATCCCACAAGGCAGCGCCAGGACTTGTATGGGTCACAGATTATTTGGGATAAAGCTCAGTCACCACACACCATCTGCAGCGCTGCTGTTAGCACAGTTGGCTAACAATGAAAATTAGAAAGAGGCTTCTCTTACAATCCCACAACAGCCTGTATGTTCCTCAATAATAATAATTACAGCAAATATTAAGACCCTCCACTTAAATTGTACAAATCTTCCTGTTGAACACAAAATGATGTTTTTGAGGTCCTGAACATTTGCCTTTTCAAAGATCTAATTATTTTTAAATAATTGCTTTTTTTTTGGTGGGAATGAAGACGGATCCAGCCTCTGGAAAGCAATATGGAGGTTTCACAAAAGGTTAAAAATGGACCTGCTGCATAACCCAGCAATTTCACTTCTGATTATCAATCCAAAGAATGTACAGACATGTCTGCACTCTTATGTGTATGGCAGCACTGTTTACAACAGCCACGTTATGGAAACAACCTAAGTGCCACAAAACAGATGAGGGGATCAAGAAGGTGTGGCACATATACACGTTGGACTATTACTGAGTGATCAAAAATGACATCATGCTATTTGCAGCCACATGGATGGAGCTGGAAGGGATAATGCTAAACAAAATAAGCCAGGAGAAGGGTAAATACCAGATGATGTCACTTACATGTGGAATATGGAGAAACCAAACTAAGGGTCAGACAGATTTTAAAATCAACCCTTGAAAGCTGACCATGGAACTGAGGCTTCCAGTTGAGGAGGGAAAAGGCAAGAAAAGGGTGGGAAGAGAGCACAAGGGGCAGGGTGGAGGATGAGGGTGATTCACTGGTGGGTGAGCTCCGGCAACGACACTGAGTGGGAAATCCTGTCATTCCAAAGCTCTAACAAGGATGTAAGGTACTCACGTACAAAAAAAAAGAATAAAATAATAACAGAATCAAGAAAAGTAATCATAAAATATACAATTAAAATATTGCATTTTTAATTCTACAAGCTATATTTTCTAGTACAGTTTTAATCTTCTTGCTCCTGCAACTTATTATTTCTGAAAATGGTCACTAGCTTTCTTGTGACATTGTGAACTTTTATCTTAGAATGTTGAACATTTTAAAATACTTCGCTAGTAATAAGTCACGACATTTTAACAGCAGTTCATCTTTGCACTGGCAAAATCTCCCTAGGAACAAAAGCAATAGAGGGTAGAGTAATATTTACCTGATGTATTATTTATGGCGCATGAATATTAACAGCTGTACAGTGCTTGTCATTGTGAAGGACTTATTAAATTTAAATAGGAAGTCGGCAATAATGTTCTGATTAATGACCTCTACTGTGTAATGTAACCAGAAAAGTAATCCAGTAGGAACTTGAAATTTTGTGATATCAGAGAGAAAAGCGGTTTCTGTTAGGATGCCCAGTTTATGGCAAATGTTGCTGGATCGATGGTCTCAGTGGCCAAACCAGCTCCTCCTTTGTCATTCACTGTGGAGTAGGAGACAGCCTAAGGAGACACTGTTTCCATCAAAAAGTGGTGGTAATGGGCTGATCTTGTGACAAGAAATGTTTCAGCCATTACAGGGCTGTAACCTTGTAATACGCATTTTTGGAGCAACAAATTAAAAACTTAAGCAATTTCAAAATAATCGAGCCATTTGCCCTGCAAAAGTGTTCCCCTTGACGCCCTGCTGTACCTGCCACCTGAGCATGGGCACAGCTGTTCCTCCCGCCAGGAAGGTCCTGGCCGCTGGGCTGGGCCCTCAACCGCTCCTTCCAGGCCCTCTGGCCCCTGCCCTCAGCCTGTGGCTGGCATCTAGAGGGCTCGGGCTCAGACCAGCTCATCCCCAGCCTGGCTCCCGCCTTTTCATGTGCCCCGATGTCCTGGCCTCACCCACACAGACTCTCACTTTTCCTCAGCAAGATTCTTTTGTTGTTAATTTATTTATTATATGAGTCAAATGTGTTTTAGGAAATCCGCTATCATCTCACACCTTGGAGAAGCACAGCTGATTTCACTACATTTCCACCCGACTTGCTTTCCAGGGTGGTGGTGTGTGTGGTGTGTAGTCGAGACATAAACCGTCTCTCGGCACGTGTCTTGTGGCCCTCTGCGCCGCCTGAGCGTGGCCGTGTCTGTGATTATTCCACTGCTGTGTTCTCAGAGACGTGGCCCATCGGCCAGGGCCCACGTGGGTGCCAACAAGGATTTTCTGTCCGGTCAGACCACTCCATCATCTAGAATGGCGCCACGCCCATAGCAGGTGCTCAATAAATGTTTGTTAAGTGAATCTTTTTGCCTCAAATTAGAAAAAAAAGGTGAAAAGCATAAAGGCATCACAGCAGACACAGGGGCTCATCCTAAACATGGTCACTTTCTGTTATGTGACTGCCAGCAACTTACTTCATCGCTTTGGGGTTTTCCTCAGTGCCGGTGAAAACAGAAGGCCCCCGAGACATCACAGGGCGAGGCAGGGCCTGCATGGAAGCCTTAGCCCGGAGCCTGCCCCCGCTGGCCTTCCATGGCCGTACCCTTCTCTTCCTGCCCCCGACCTTGAAGTGCCTCTCTACGGGACATTTTGGAACCCCCAACTCCCATTTCTTCCCCTGCCCCAACCTGAAAAGGGAGGAATCATAAATTGTGAACATCCCATCGCCTTACCCACTCAGCTCCCCGGTGCCGCCTGACTGGTCGAGACGCCACTCTGGACACCACAGTGTCAGGTGAGCTGGCAGGTGGCAGGAGTCGCCCACAGACCAGCTCCTTCGACAGATGTTAATATCGTAGGTAACGGAAGAGGACCAGTCGCCTTCACTTCTATTGTCAGCCAACTCACTCACAACCAGTGAGATACGAGACGCCTGACTCCACAGAAAAGCATTTGGCCAGGTCGTTCGCCGAGGAAGACACATAAATTGCCAACTCATGAAGGGAAAGATGATCAAACTCAGTTAAAGAAATGCACATCTAAGGTGGAAGACAGCATATTCAGAAAAAAAGTTTCTAATTATATTACAAATCCCCACACAGATATTAAAAACCCGTAGAGACAGATGTGTAGCTTAAGGACTTGGCGCTGGTACTGTGGTGGGGGTCTCCCGCCTCCTGAGTGACATGTCTGCACCTGGAAATTGGGGGAAGATGGTTGGCTGTGTGGGGTCGAGCTCCTGCTGATGCTTCAAGACCCAGCTCAGACATCCTTTCCCTGGGAGGCCGGCGCTGCTGACCCCTTACCCGGAGTTGGCGCCTTCCCTACCTGCTGCTGTCTTCATCTGTCAGTCCCCCTCCCACACATACTCGCCCTCCCTTTATGCCTCGGGGGCAGAAGCTGGTGCCCTGATGATTCTTTGTGTCTCTAGCATGTGGCACACAAAGTATTTGTTGAATGAATGAATGAAAGGACATGATTCAATTGCAGCTGGAGCTGTGGGAGGCCTTGTAAACAGCGCCACCTATTGGCAGATGATGTAACACTGCATTTTAGATTCTGAAACTTTTTACCCTGAAAATTAGTTGACTTAAATTAAGCATCTTTTTTTCACACTGAAGAGATTGTTTCACTCTTCAAGCCTCTGGGTCATTTATCTTTTCAAACATGTTTAAATAATGAGGGGCCTCCCCTGGTGGGGCAGCGGGTTGAGCGCAGCGCTGTGAAGCTGTCTGCAGCCTCTGCAGCGCAGGTTCGATTCCTGGCCAGCCAGGGAGATACCCACATGGTGCGGCAGACCTCTCCTGTCTCCCCGCTGCTTCCCTCAGTAGTGTCTTTGGTCCGTCTGCCTGTTCTGCTCCCTGCTCTCTGGTGAATTCTCTCACCCTCCTGCACCCCTGACTGTAGCCCAGTTCTTGTATAAATAAATAAATCTTAAAAAAATAATAAAAAAATAAAATGATACTGTTGTGGCTCGGGATTCCCAGCCAGAAAAACCACTTTTAAAAATGTTTAAATAATGAAAGCGTTAATATTCCTTATGCTATTTTAGCTTCAAGGCTGTTGGGTGAACCAAACTCAGGGTCCTGTCAGTGAAATCAGAAGCGGGAAGCAATGTGAATAATAATGATCGTGGGAGCCTCCACACGGTCCTGTGGCTCGCTGTGTTTCCGTCCTGCTCAGTAGATGAGGGGAAGCCAGGCTTCTGGCAGGAGGACTCTCCCTAGCTGGACTGCAGACCTCCCCACTTTGCAGGCTGTGCTGGTAACTGGGCCTCCCTGGTAGTGCAGGAGTTAAGTCTCAGCACTATGGAGCTATCACCAGCCACTTCAGCAAGAGTTACCCACATGGTGCAGCAGACCTCTCCTGTCTCCCCGCTGCTCCCCTCAGTGGTGTATTTCAGTAGATTCACCTGTTCTGCTCCCCACTCTGTCTCTAGTGAATCTGCTCCCCCTCCACCTCCCCACACCTCTGGCCTACACCCCAGTTCTTGTATGCATAAATAAATAAATCTTTAAAAAAAAAAGGGGAGGGAGGAAAAGAATTGAAGCAGAGTTTGTGTCCCCACTGAAATCTCCAGGGACTTCTACACATTTAATTAAACATCTACTAAACAACCCTGTTTCTAGTACAAAACTGCTTAAGGGCAGTTTTTATAAAGAATTGTTACTGATGTAGTAGAGCATTTTAATTGCAGCAGGAATCTTATTTCATCATGTGAAGCCATTTCAAAAGGTGCCATGGCTGTGTGCGCATCCAAGAGCCCAAGTCTCAAGCCGGGAGGTAACATTTGACCTTGACCTACTCAAGCTGCCCAACGGCCGCACAGCAGGCCCATCAGTCCTGCCCTACCTGGTGCCAAGAGGCCACCTGGCCCACCCCATCTGTTATACAGCCCACGGTCAGGACCAGGCTCAAGTCCCCTTTCAGGGATCCTGAAAGTGCTGGGCTGGGCGAGGTTCCCTTCCCCAGGAGGCCTGCGGTGAAGGCAGAGAATCTCTGTGGACTGGGAACGGTGACACCAGGTCTGCAGTGCGGGAGTGTGAGTCTGATCAGATGGAAACAAAACAACCACTGTCAGGCTGAGGCTGCGCCTCACCCCTGCCAGATACAGAACGACGGGGCCTGCTGAGCCCGAGGCAGGTGAGGAGGGACCTTCCCAGGCCCTGCTGTCTGCTTCTCTCGCACGGACGTGATGGAGAGAACAAGTCCACATCCCCCGTCGCCCTGGTGGCGCTCACGTCCTTGTGGGAAAAACAAAATGAAGTGATCAGGCTAACGTGCTACGGAGACACTCGAGGCTGGGGCCTGAGGAGGTGGCAGAGGGGAGCATCGAGGCCTCGCTGGGAGGGGCTTTGGGCCGACAGTGCAGGGCCCTGGGACTGGCCCCCCAGAGGCAGGAAAACTGGGGCAGAGACCTCACACAGGCCCGTGTGACAGGCGGCAGGACAGGGTAGCTGAATGGCATCAGAGGGAGAAAAAAGGAAGGTGAGTCCGAAAAATGAAGGGCCTTCTAGACCCAGGTGAGACGCAGGCGCAGCTGCGCTTCTACCATGCGGGACTGCCAGGGCCAGAGCTCAGAACCCAAGCCCGCAGCAGCCCAGCTCTCAGCTGAGACACACCCCGGTGAGCACACACTCCTGCCAGAGCATCAGCCAAGCATCTCCCCGGGGCTGCTTCAAATTATCTGGACATCAAGATGGTGACACATAATATTCTCCCTTACATCCTGGAGCGAAGGCTCGCTTTGCCGGTGGTGTTTCTCAATGTCTAGTTGAGATTGCGGCGGCGATAGGACTGTGGCTGCTCGGCTGAGGTTTTTTCCAGTATGCACACACCAGGCTCCTGTCTCATATGGCTCTCTTTGGGGCTTCTTCCATCTGGTACGGCATGTTCATACCTTAAAGTGGGGTCCTCTGGGCAGCTGGGCGTGTGGGGGACGCTGGCGTGGCACAGATGTGGCTTCCGTCTCAGCTGTGTTTGAACAGAACATGTGTCCCGTCCACCTGAGTGGCGCCCCTTGGCTGCCAGGAGGTGATGGGCCCTTACAACAGGTGGTCGTGAGCTTGGGGGCCATGTCAACTGGCCCGAGTCCAGGGGCCCATAGTGCCAACAAATGACTACACCCCCTTTCGGAGTCTTCCCTCTTGCTCTCGCCCCAGTCCTCTCGCAGTAGCCCCCCAGGGGATGGGCTGAGAACACCCTCTCTCACAAGACCCTTTGTCAGGAATTTGTTAGTTTTAAATAATTTCTTTAAATAATCTGTCAGAAGGGCATGGGGAAGGGGTAAAAAAAAAATCTTTTTTACACTGGAGACAGGGCTGTTCCCATCTTGGCCAACCAGACCTTTTCCTTCCCCAGACAGTTACTTGCTCTGGTCAAAAGCAAACTTGGCTGATGACGCCAAGCCTGTGGGCGGCTGCCTCTGGCTTGGGACATTAGTTCAGGCTCCTTCCTCCCACGGGCACCCGGTGGTTTTCCCTACTAAGGCCTGGCGTCCGCGCCGCACCCGTGACACAAGCAGCTAATGTCCGCAGAGGGTGAACGAGACCAGCCCCGACCCCCTCTAAAAACTGCTTCTGTTTTATTTCCACAGCAAACCCAAGGAGCCCATCTTCAGTGCAGGTAAGTCCCAGTTCCTTTCTGCACGGGCGCCCCTCACTCTCCTTGTCAGAACCCAGGGGACAAACAGACATAGCTCCTGCGGGGGCCAGTTTCTGACACCCAGCATATTACCTGTCGGCCTGCACCTGGGCTCTAGCCGCTGAGGTCAGAGGCCGCCCGGTACGCTGGTCACCAAGTCCAGACCCTGGACGGAGCCCTCAGCAGGTGCCTCAGGACCCGTGGGGGAGCGGCGTGCCCTGTGGCCTCCAGCGTCCTCCCTGACGGCTGGGCTCTGTGGGCCGCGCTTGGTCTCTCTGAGAGCTGCTGACACGCTGGGTTATAGCTTTGTCTAGAAGTAGCTGTTTCTCTTTTCCTGCCTTTGATTTCCTAAGCTGCAAACTAATCGTTCATCGAGAACTTTCGTATCTTTGTCTCAACATGTTTTGCCCTAAAGTAGATGCTCTTGTTAGGATCATGACTATTCTAAAAAGCACATTTAAAATGCGGAATGGACAAGGACAGTGGCTCCCCACGGTCGCCTCGCGCCGCCTCTCTGGCTGTCCCCTAAACTCAGAACTGGCTCTGAAGCAGCCAGGGCCCTCGTGCCGTTTCCTCTTCAGGAAGCAAGAAATTACTCCCTGAAAATGTGACCGCCTTAAGCTTGCAGAGCTAGGTCTGGGGCGCTGGTTGGAGGCCTGGGCCTGGCCGGGCTCCCCCCGGGGCAAGTGGACGCGACGGGTCTCGCAGCACCCGCCTCTCTCCATCTAGCCCTTCAGTCTCCGAAATCACAAGGGAAACGCCGGGTGACCCACTGCAAAGGTAGGCGGCACGTCTGAGACCTCATAGCTCTCTGAGCCACCCGTTACCCGGGCAACAGAACTTTAATCATAACGCAAATGTGGAAATGCTTTTTGTGATGCAAACCCCTCGATTTGTCCAAGTAAAAGCTTTCCTGAGCGTTGACTTGGATGGGTTTGAAGAAGTGACTATAACTCACATCTCGATTGACTATTGGCTGATCACAGGAACTTCTTGTTTAATCCATATAAACCTTAAGAGAGCTATAGGGCAACCCCAGGGGTCCCACTGTTTGAAATGGTCCCTGCTCGGCTGCTGACCTCTCCCTCTAACACCTGGGCTTTGGGGTGTATGCTGTTATCCTAAAATGCCTGGAAAAGACCTGCTTCCCCTCCCTGCATTTTGATTTTGGATGCAGAATGCCGGGATCATCCCCAGGAATCGGGCCCGGGTTAAACCCAGCGCTTCTCTGCCTGCCCAGTCGTTCAGAATCGTGCGCTTAGCGAGCCTCCTTCCTGGGGCCCCACCAGCCCGTGACAGCCCCCCAGGCAGGGTCGTCTCATGCGCTGCACGCACCGGAGGCACTTGTCTGTGGTGTGGAGCTGACAGCACGTGCTCTTCGTGGCCAAGCTCTGTGGTTCTTCTTGCACAGATTTGATGCCGTCACTTTTCACTTGACTCGAAACTGTCGCCTGCCGCCTTTCACTTCTCTCACCTGCTGGGCGAGGCAGTGAGAAATCAGGATGGGAGGAGCAGGGTGGAGGTGTGGGGCACAGAGATGTCTGACCAGGGAGGCAAGTTCCTGGGGGGTTGGAGGGAGTGGACAGCAAGGTCACGTGATAGGGGCTGTGGGTCCAGCATGTCAGAGAGTAGTGGATAGGGATTGAGTGCAGGAGGGATGCCGTGAAACCCAGTTTGGGTCTTGATGGGTTTGGCAGCAAGAGAAGTCACCTAGAGAACCACAAGGAGGTGCAGTGATGGGGGCCTCAGCTGGGTGGTCCCTGCAGAGCTGGGGGGCAGAGGCACGTGAAACATCCTCACGGGGTGGGGAGACGCACCGCAGTGGCTGGCGCTGTGCACACAGGCGTGAGGGGAGGCGCTTGGTTCCTACCTAGAAGCCAAACTGTGTATGCAGAGTGAAGCGTGTGTGGCATGCATGCCCCTGAGACCTGAGTGCATGCTCACGGGGCTGAGGGGGTGACCTCTTCATTCCTCGGCAGTGTTGCATGCGACATTGTTTGCAAAGCCTTAGGAATACGACTTCCAAGGAGTCTGCAATGTGGCGCCTACAGAGCTGTGATTCCATCATGGTTCTCCCCACCCATTGCCTCCCTGCAGATGATCTGCCTGTTGGGTTAAGTACAGATAGCCCCGGCTCCAACTGCCCAGTTGGAACGCCATCATGCCCTTTGATCCGCAGAAAAGCTTCCGAGTGCCCTGAATTCAGCAGGTGCTCACAAGGCATTTTCCTTGGTCTTGTTAGAGCCTGAAAACTTAAGGCAGAAAAGCCCGAGTTGTTCCTTGTTCCAAGTCCAGGACTTGCCCCGTGTCCACACATTAGTGGGCTGTACTCAGTCCCTGTAACTGATTGAGCATCAAGTGTGACTTTATTACAAAAAGAACTGTATTCTAGGAAGCTTTGTTTGCTGGGTCCTCTCTTTAGTTGGTCCTTTGTTCTTGTTTCCCACTTCTGGCTTCTCAGAGCATTTTCCTGTCTGCGCAGGTCCTGGCGTGGACTTGTGGGGCTTGTGCCCTTCACACCTAAAAGCATTGTCCAGTGTAACAGATCCCCACGGCCGGGTTTTGTTAGGTTGCAAGAGAACGGGGCTATTTAAGTATTGAAGGACATTTTATACATTTTGATATTGAAATTGTGTATACATTGAATGCAGTGAAAATTTAAGTACTTTTCTTGTGTTAGCTGTAGTTTTTGGAGGGCGGCATGTCTCCCCCTCCTGATGATAAAGAAAGTGTAAGTCCCTCTTGGAAGATAATAGCCCAAGTCTGGTTCTCTCCTGCCTCTCCCATATAACACCGGCCCAGGTACATTGGGCTCTAAGGTTCTCACTGGCTTCTCTGTTCTGTTTGTAGAAGAAGGTTACGTAAAAATGTTTCTCCGCGGACGCCCCGTCACCATGTACATGCCCAAAGAGCAAGTGGATTCCTACAGCCTGGAAGCAAAAGTGGAGCTTCCGACCAGGAGACTGAAGCTGGAGTGGGTGTATCCTTTAGTCGTTGCTCGGGCTTCTGCTGAGTGGCCAGTCAGTCGAGGCCGTTAGCTTGAAGTTTAACTCAGAAAGTCGTCAAACGAAACTGTGCTGGCAACAAGTTTGTAAGCCCTAAGAAAGAAGGAGAATGCCGTGGAAGGAGGACTAGCATCCCCCCTCCAGCCAGTTACTGCTGGACCAACCTTAGGGGCCTGGCCCCAGGGATACTGTTTAGTTGAAGGTATAACTTAGGAGTCTGAGTAACTTAGGGGTTCCAAGTGCTAAGTGTGGGGTGCACGTTGAGAGGCACAAGTGAAACCCGCAGGCAACACAAATACACCATTTAAAATAAATACTGCCCTCCCCCAAGTCAAGTCCAGGCTGCTAAGGCCAGAGTCAGTCATGTGACTGACATTCCTGAAATGAAGCCACTGGAGGCTTCCAAGTGTGAGATTCGGAATTATGAATGAGCTTCTCAGGAGAAAAATACAGAAAGACAAAAAATAGGGCCTTGATGAAGCGTCCTCAAACTGTTGGGGTTTTGTTTTATTTTATCTTGCTTTGTACTTTCGTTTTTTACTCTATACTTTGTTTCACTTTTACTATTTTTTAAATTTTGTGTTCATTTCCTTTTCCTTTTTTTTTTTTTTTTAAATTTTACAAGAGGAAGCCTGCGGAGGCCACCTTGCAACCCATGCAGATTTTAAGACAAAGGGCAGAAAGCACCCCTTCTCCCAACAAATGTCTGCTGAGTACCAGCTCAATGCCAACCCTGGTCAAGCGCTAATACGAGTTGGTTTAAATGATGCTGTTGTCATTTCTCACTGCTGAAATTCTGGAGTCAGAGTGTTGGGGAAATTTGCCCCCAAAACATGTATTTTATTTTTTTAGATTCAACTGTCACAACCCATCACCTGCCTCTTTTCTGGAATCTATTTGGGCACATGCATCTGCAGAATCCAGCTCTTCTTTAAGCCAATAGCTGTTTAAATTGGTTAAGTCGAAACTGGAAAGTATTATTTAAAACTCAGGTGTACAGCCTCCTTCCCAGGCATATTTTAGATGTAAAACAGTGGAATTGGTTATAATAAATGCCGTTGTTTTGCCAGGTTATTTTATCCTACCCAAGTTCAAGTGATATTTTGCTCTTTAAATAGTTCTCAAGATTGGGATGTTTACACGACAAAACCTTGGCAGGAGTTATCATCCGTAAAGAACTGGGAATGGGGCCTCCCCGGTGGCGCAGCGGTTGAGCGCTGGGTTCCGAAGCTGCCCGCAGCCTCTGCAGCGCCAGTTCGATCCCTGGCTGCTCCCCGGCCACCGGAGGAGGGTCCCACATGGCGCGCAGACCTCTCCTGCCGCCCGCTGCTCCCCTCAGCAGTGTGCTTCGGTCCTTCTGCCTGCTCGGCTCCCCGCTCTGGCTCTGGTGAATTCTCTCACCCTCCCGCGCTTCTGACTGTACCGGGTGCTTGTATAAATAAATAAATAAATATTAAAGGAAAAAAAAGAGATGGCGAGAAAAAAAAAAAAAAACTGGGAATGGTTGGGGCAAGAAGGACCTAAATTTTTTACCTTTTGTAGGTGTGTGTGTGTGGAGTTGGCATCTTTTACAGCTACTTTTATAATGCAAAATGTGTTCACGTAACACATGTTTTAGCTCCTGGATTACAATAAAAAATAAACACTTATTAAGTTAATAACTGAGGCATATTACCAGAATCTTAAAATAGATTTTTAAATACTTTCTGATATAAAGATGTCAAAGCTTAAAGTTTTTGTTTTTTTTTTTTTCTGGAAGAGCATTTATACTTCACACTTACTATATGAAACAATGTAGTCATTTAACACTTTCAGCTTTATTTTGTTTTCTCAACAAACAGCAAAAGCCACCGTGGTCATAGGGATTCCAGTCTGTCCCAGGCTCAGCTCCTGTCCCATGAAGCTCTCGTGAGGCCATGGCTGTGGGACCCTCCATCCCCAGCTTGTCGACGTGTGTCTCAAGGTGATGTGACTGTGGAGCGTTGAAAGATGACAAGCTCAGCGCCCCTGTCACTCTCCCTAAGTCCAGTTCCCAGGGTCAGGCTCTGTAGGGCTTGTGACTGCAGCAGGACACGCGCAGGCCCTGCCCCGTGGCAGCTCGGTGGGGCTGAGTTAGACAAGAGCACCCCGCAGGAAAGGAGCAGAAAGGGCAGTGGGAAAAACACTGGAGCACAGCCTCCCAGCGTTCTTGTGACGTCAGTGTCAGGTGCATCTTCAGGTGACTTTAGTTCTAATGCCAGGCAGCCGGTCCTTAAAGACCAGCCTGGCAAAACATGGAGGCAGACCCTCTGGGAACATGCAGAGTGACTCCCACATGAAATTGGAACGTCCAACCAAGAGCTGGCCTCTGGCCTCGGGCTGATTGCTAAACTGAGAAGCCTTCACCTCCCAGTCACTGCCCAAATGTCAGACCCAGGGACCTCTGGTAAATAAAATGATCCCTTAGGATTTTTGATCAAACCAACAAATTCAACTTTCAAAATACATCACATACTTCTAAAAATAAAGCCACATCTTTATAGCATTAAGAAAACAATCTTCATGAACTCACAGACCGTTCCAGCGTTCTGCCGACTGTGTGGGTCCAATGGATTGGCACCAAGGGGTTGCAGTTTAATGTTATTCATATTAGCAAAATTGATGCTAAAAGTCCTAGAATTTTATTGCCTGTGGCTTTGGAATAAAGCCGATGCTTGGTCTGCTTTTCAAAGAAAATAAGAACGTTTCTCTTGACACACGCGAAGCTATGGGTACCGGGGCCGAGACTGCCGCAACAACCTGTACCTGCTCCCGACAGGGGAGACGGTGTACTTCATCGCGTCCGTGGTGGTCCTGTACAACGTGGAGGAGCAGCTGCAGCGACACTACACTGGCCACAACGACGACGTCAAGTGGTAGGTCGCCTGGCCCAGCCTCTGAGTGCACGCGTGGCGGTGCTGGCAGCGGACGCGCATTAGGGTGTCACTAAAGAAAGGGGAGCCGAGAAAATAGGATCTTAGGGGAGCGCTCTTTAGGTCTGTGTTGGCTCCCAGCTCCCACCTTTTTAGTTTTCTGTCCATATAACTCATCATCCTAACCAGCCACGTTACCTAAAACAGTAGCGAGAATAGACACCTACTGAGGGCTTCTTAACAGCTCACCTGCTAGTGACTTCTAAATTTAGGTCTTTATTTTTTTAATAAAAATGTTTGCCTGTGTTTATGGCCATCTGATAGAATTCCTTTATTTTTAATTTATCCACCGTTCATTTTTGGCTGTGGGTAGGGATTTGGTGTATCTTGGAAGGACAGATGGGCGAGTAGATGGATTTACGTATTTCTGTTTGTCCTAGGTTTCTGGTCAATTATCAAAATCCTGTTGGAAAAAGATATGATTTACTTAATAAAGGTTGTAGACTAATTGAGTGGTTCTGAGATTGAAATGGTTTTTCCCAAACAAAGGATGCTTTATTCCTTTATTTTGAAAATTCCCTAGAGGTAGAGGAATCAAAATGAAATGGAAAATGCATTTATTGTCTAAGATTATTGGGGTGGTGAAAGAATTCATTCTGAGTCCCTAAGAAGTTTAGCATCATTTGGTCTTACATTTCAATTTTCAGCTAGATCGTATTTGTTTAAGGGAAAAGTAAAGCTTACCTTTGGAAACTAGCCGTTTTATAAATATCCTTTTTTTAGCCTAGCGGTTCATCCCGATAGGATCACAATAGCAACAGGACAAGTCGCAGGCACGTCTAAGGATGGAAAAGTGAGTGCTATTATCTTTTCTTACTTTTGTAATGAACTGGGAACAAAGTCATTTTCTGAAAACATTTTGCTGATGAATAGATCTGATTATCGGAAGCCTTCTCAACACTAGACTTTTATTGCAAATTAAAATTCTTACAATGACTTTAAAACTGTCTTGAACTCACCTTAATTTCAGCCAATTTTTTAAAAGCATTGTTTTTGCCTGAGAATACATTAACTTTTAAGATAGGCTTTGATACACAATAAACATGTAAATGTTAACGTATTTAATAAGTTAAAATCAAAACAATCATTTGACGTTGTAAACCAACTTTAAATTTAAAAATTTCCAATTTTACAAAGAAATAATCTTAAAAATGATAATAGTTACTTGGATATGGGACATTTTCCCTCTTCAGCAGACTTTTGGCTTCCATCCATGGAGTTTTTATCCATGCACGATCCACAGAGGCTACTTGGAGGATTTTAGCACAATGTTTGTAAACACGTCAGCAAGACTTTAATTTGTATTTTAAGGAAGCAGAGAAAAAACTAGACTTTAACAAATAGAAAAAAAATTCAGAACTAGATTCCAGTTCTGTACTGACCAGTCTGTGGCATCACCTGTCTTAACTTAAACTCCTGGAGACTTGTTGGAGATCTGCTTTGTATTTTACCGCTGTGCAATATATGAGCTAAAACTAATTACATTAAGTCCTCCCATTTTATCCACATGTTTTCTTCCAGAAAAATATGAACGTTACCATTCCTTAGACAATATTTCAATAATATCAATTTTTAAATATTAACCTTACACTGTTTTCTGTTAAAATTGTACACTTGAAAAAGGCAATAGGAAGGCTGGAAATAAGACTACATGAGGTAAGTAGATGCAAAAGGAGTAGCTTCTTCATCTTCATGTTTTTAAAATGCTTTGAAATGAGTCGTCACCGTTTGTTCCTCCCTCTAGTGGGTTGAAAGTGTATTTCCGTTGAAATGGGATTGGAGCTCTAGAGCCAGAGAAAATGTGGTCTCTAGCGGAGCCCAGCCTTCACCCCCCCCCACACCCCCTACCCCCCAAGAGGTCGTGCCTGTCCCCAGATGTCCCTCGGCTTAGAGACATGCGAGGCCAGAAGCCGCTGACCTAACCCCACTCTGGCCCGGGGCGGTGCTGGTGCTATTCCCCATGCTGTCTCCAGGATGCTGTCTTCCACTGAGGACAAGCAAACCCATTCACCTCGGAGCAGAGTCAGAAGGGCCTTGGACTCCTCATGTCAGTTCTCAGTTTTATTCGTGTATGAACGACTTGCCTGATTCACTCCTCTGAGGCCCGGAGATGTTAAGCTGTTAATGGTACTTGCTGGGGACCAGTCTGTGAAATATAAAATGTACTTCCTTTTTAATAGCAAAACAGACTTTAAAAGAATAATCCTTAGATGCAATTCCATTTTCCTTGTCATTTTTTTGATTAAAAAATTCAGACACGTCTAGATGTGCAAATTGGACTATCCGTTACCAGGGAACAGTTTGCAAAGAATGACTTCTCAAAATGTAAAACTTGCCAGACCTCTCTTGGCATTAAGCTGGCCACCAGGACCCTGACCTCCTGGAGCCATGGGGGGTATTTTATTTATGTTAAGAAGGGAGAGTCCTAAAATTTTAACAAAATTGAAGTTACCGCTGAAGAATCTTGTAGATTCCAAATAAAGATCTGTGTCGCCATCAGCTGATGACTCTGCCCCTTCTCCAAACAGCAATTGCCCCCACACGTCCGCATCTGGGATTCTGTCACCTTGAATACACTGCATGTCATCGGAACCGGTTTTTTTGACCGAGCTGTCACCTGCATCGCGTTCTCAAAATCTGTAAGGATGAGCCGGGCCCTGTGGGTGGGTGCTGCAGATCCTATCAGGGCAGGAAGGTACATGCCGGGGCGGCCCGCTGCGTGCATGGGCCTGCTACATGCACAGAGACCTCCCCACTTCCCAGACCCCCTCTTTGAGAAGCCACCCTCAGCCCCTCCGCTCACACATGTCCGCTGGGGCACACGCATCCCTTCCCAGCTGGGTGGGCGAGGAGATGAGGACAGACCTGCCGTGACATTGTCTCCTGATCCTTGGGATGGCTGCTCTGGGCTTGAATCTTCCTGCCGCTCCTGGTCTGGGGAGGCAGCATGCACTGTCACTCGGGCTGGCTGCTGTGAGTGAGCAGGGGCTTGTCTCCCAGGCATCCTCAGAATATTCCTGCTCAGCAGATCCACCCCTTGAACCACTTCATCAGCCGGCTCAGAAACATGTTCACAACGCGTGCACTCGTGTTCACAAGCGCCACCTGCCTCTCCCCCCTCACCCCTCTCCGTATCCTCAATGCCAACCCTGGGCTGGTAGTGACCGTCTCCCCCCAGGAGGCTGCAGCCCTTCAGGAGGAGGGTGTGGGTGTGGCTTGGGGGCCGGGTGGTGCGCCAGTAAGCAGGTCTCAGGGAGGGGGTGGATATCCTGTAACTAAGAGGTAGGGGGCTCTTGATTAAAAGTGAAATCGATATTGGTGTTGAACCACGTCCAGCGGGTGTCATTCTCAAATGTGGGCTTGCTCTGGACATTCTTTTCCAGAACGGAGGAAGCCATCTCTGCGCGGTAGATGACTCCAATGACCACGTGCTGTCCGTGTGGGACTGGCAGAAAGAGGAGAGACTGGCAGATGTAAAGGTACCTCCCAGGCCCGCGTCGGCCCCCACCCTCAGGCCAGCCCCCGCCCTGGGAACCCCCATGCCCTGCCTCTCCTCTCCAGACCCCATTCCTAAGTCCTGTCAGGGCTCTCTCTCTTCACCCCATCTACATGGGGTCTTTTTCTTCCTCGTGCCCCAGTAGTTCAGTTCTTGGCATTTTGCTAGTTGGAATTCATTAGAGCTGTCAGTCTCCATATGAAGAACATATAAGTATCGAGCAGAAAGAACAGTCAGGGCCAGAATCACCTGACCAGGGTGCAGGTCCTAGATCAAGGTAATAGGTGAGGGGTGGCCAATGACCCCTGAGAGCCAGGGCCCCCAACCCCAGACCACGTTGGTCACAGAACCACTGACCCAGTCCCAGTGATGAGAAGCAGGACGGACTTCCAGGGCCCACAGCACAGCTGACCCAGCCAGAGCGTGGACTCTGTAAATCCAGGTTCCTGGGCCTCCCCAGAACCCCAGCCCCACATGGGATGAGGCCCAGCCGCTGCATTTCACCCCCACAGGGAGCTCTGTTTAGCTAGGGTTCACACTCATCCTTCCCTGGAGGAGGAGAGCGAGGTCTTCGGTCCTCAAGCACCACCGCCGCTGGTCCACAGCACCAGAACGCGAGCAGGGGCCACTCCGGGTCAGGGGCTGTGGGAGAACGCAGTGCCCACTCTGCCCGCAGGGCCACGGGCCGGCCAGGGAAGTCAGGGCCCGAGCAGACGCCTAGTCAGTGTTTAGAAGAGACAGAATGCAGGGGCGTCGCGCCTCGCTTGACTCAGCCATTTGTGGTTCACACTTTCTTTTCGCAAGTATCTTAAGAGATGTGAGACGCTTGCTTGTCCTGTCTTGCTCAGTGCTCGAACGAAGCTGTGTTCGCTGCGGATTTCCACCCCACAGACACCAACATCATAGTCACCTGTGGAAAGTCACACCTCTACTTTTGGACACTAGAAGGAAACTCCCTCATTAAGAAGCAAGGGTTATTTGAGGTAAAGCCCAATTGTAGTTTCTGTTTGAGCCTCCACTACGCGACACATGTCGTCCGCGGTCTTTGAAGGGAGCTTTGAGGTTCTGGTCTCAGCATTGACAGTAATTGGCAGATGTGGGGGTGCCACTGAGGGGTATAGTGACAAAGATTATCACTGAGCATCCCAACAGAGTTGGGGAGCACATCATGTCTTGGGGATACAGAGAAGGAAGGCTGGACCACACAGGGAGCAAAGCTCAGAAAGGGGGCTCCTGGGGTGGCCCCTCCATGGTGTGCAAGGGTGCACGTGGTTGGGGTGGTGGACACTCTGCCATCGGGGGCCTTGGGGAGCACCAAGGCCTTGAGAAGCACCCTGGAGGTTGAGCTAAGGAACTGCTGTTGCTGCACCTGGGCCCTGACTTCAGGCTGCAGTCACAATAGCACAGCCCACCCCTGCCCCTCCAACAGCCCCCCTACTCAGACTGTTGCCCCCCTAGCACCAGCTCTTTCATGGTGGACATTAGTGAAAGGTGCACGGGCCAGGGGTGGGGGCGGGCAGCCTGGGATACATGGCTCAGGTTATCGCTCATCCCAGTCAAGAGGACATCCTGTCTAGATGCTTGTCTTTACCACATTCTGCAGAAGCAAGAGAAGCCAAAGTTTGTCCTGTGCGTGACGTTTTCAGAAAATGGTGACACCATCACTGGAGATTCAAGTGGCAACATCTTGGTGTGGGGAAAAGGTAATGTGACAGCCCCTAAGGAGACTGTGATAGATCAAAGGCAGTTTCCGTCAGGACTCTCCATTAACGTACCTTATGGGTCACTATTAAGTCCTGAGTTGCAGAGAGCACGTTCTTCTGTGTGTGTGTGTGTTGGGGGGGGCGGGGGGCAGCCCTGAAGCTGTAAAGTGAGAACAGAGGAAAACAAGGATAAGAGGCATTGACCTTTCATCATCCTAAAAGCTTAAGCCCAAGACAGTATGATGGAGTTAATGGCTTTATTAACAGATTATAATGAAGACATAATCAGTAACTCTCCAGCCACTAGGGCCTTAACAGCTTTCTGGTTCACACAGCACTTGGCTGACAAGTATTGAGTGTGTGAGGGTATGTGAGATGTGTGGGAGGCAGGTGTGAGGGTGTGTGTGAGGTGGATGTGAGGTGGGTGTGAGGATGTGTGTGAGGTGGGTGTGAGGCAGATGTGAGGGTGTGTGATGGGTGTGAGGTGGGTGTGTAGGTGTGTATGTGAGGCGGTTGTGTGTGTGAGGCGGGTGTGTGTGTGTGAGGTGTGTGTGAGGCAGGTGCCTGAGGCTCACCACGTGCCACAAGGACAGGAAACCACCCCTGGCTTCGGGGAGCTTAGCTTTAGGGTCGGGTGAAGGTGCAAACAGACCCATAACTGTGACGTCGGAATGAGACTGTGTCCTCTGCTCCGGGCTGAGGTGCTTTCTACCTTGTTTCATGCCCCTGAGCGATCCTGAGGGTGAAGAAAGGGCAGGCTGGGGTGGAGACAGGTCCGAGGCACGTGGGCCCTTCTGTACTCTGGGTTGGCAAGTTCCCCCAGGCTGTACTTGTCAGGAGCCCAGGAACTGGCGATCTGGTCCCTGCAGGCTCACATGGCGGCCATGTCCTCCCAACGTGTGTGAGAACAGCCCAGAGAGCTGGCGGGTGGCCTCTGGGTCACGGCCTAAGGGAGATTTTCTTGGTCTGTTCAGGTACGAACCGAATAAACTATGCCATCCAGGGAGCCCACGAGGGGGGAATTTTTGCACTTTGTATGTTACGGGACGGCACCCTGGTGTCAGGAGGAGGGAAGGACCGGAAGCTCATTTCGTGGAACGGAAACTATCAAAAACTTCATAAAACTGAGGTAAGACTGCACGCGAGCTATTGAAATGCATTTTCAACCTTAAACCGTCATTCTAACCAGTTTCCCGCTCAGTTTGAAATCTTTACAGTTTTGAGAGTTATTTAGATACACTGTTATTAAGTGAGTAACATTTTATTAAAACCCTGGAGGCAGTTTAAGGAATAACTATTATTGCAGAATGCAGTTTCTAAAATTTGGGGTTGGGCCTCCCTGATGGCGCAAGGGGTTAGGACGCAGCCTGTGAAGCTGTCAGCAGCCTCTGCAGTGCGAGTTCGAACTGCGGCCAGCCAGGGAGCCACCCACATGGCGCAGCAGACCTCTCCTGTCTCATCACTTGCTCCCCTCAGCAGTGTATTTCAGTCAATCTGCCTGTTCAGTTCCCCACTCTGTCTCTGGTGAATTTTCTCAACCCCTGTACTTCTGGCCTGTACCCCAGCTCTTGTATGCCTAAATAAATAAATCCTTAATAAAATAAAATAAAATTTGGGGTTGTGACACATTTCACATTTAGAATACATTTGTCCCCAAGGGAATGTTACCCACATTTGAGTCACTGTTAAAATCCATCCTCCTTGGTCGCTTTGATTTCCGGCGTGCTGCTCTGAGCATCCTGGACTACCCCTCTCTGAGGATCTCTCGCAGGTGGCTGGTGTCTCTGCAGCCTCCCCAAGTGCCCCAAGTCCACTTCCTTCCCACTTGGTCAGCAGCCCTGGGCCCCAGGAGGAGCAGCGGGGAAATCCGTATCCCTTCAGGCCCCAGAAATCCAGGTAGACAGGTAGTGAGGCCAGCACCATCTGAGGTTTGTGGTCTTCCTAGCAGAGACCGGACACGTGGAGAACTTTCCCAGCTTCCAAGTCAGGTGCACCCTCTTGTGACAGCTTCACCAGAAAGCAGGCGCCCAGGGAGCAGCCTGAAATCTCCTGTCAGCTATTGTGCTGGTGAAGGGAGGCCTGTGCCTGTGCCTTGGGAACCACTCCCCCTTTCACGGAGAAATTTAATCGTGGTGGCATTTTATATCCTAAGGTTTGACCAGCCTTCAGGTGAATGTATACCGTGGGAAATTTCAGTCACACAAAAGCCCCAAAGGCTCCTCCAGTTTCAAAGAAGACTCTCCCTCTCTTAGGGCCTGTGGTTCCTCTTTGTTGGCAGGGCGGGCACAGCTTTTCTCAAATCTGCGCCAGCCAGCCACTGGGCGGCAGAAGGTCTGTGAGAAGCAGGCTGCAGCCTCTCGCCAGGGCCTCACGGCGGGTTTTGTTCCTTTAAGGAAGAGCACACACCTCTGTTTATTTTTTCACAGTAAATGGTTCTCAGCTGGTGTAGCTTGAAATGCTTTTTCCGAATATTCAGACAATTCCATGTCTGAAACTGCCGAAGAACCCACAGGCTAAGTCACAATGAATTTCGGTGCTCACATCGCAACTGGGTCTGCCCTTCCTGGCTCTGCCTGCGGCTGCTGCAGGCAGTCCTATGAGGCGGGCAGACGGCAGTGTTCCTTATTTCTAATCTGGTCAAGAACAAATGCTTTATTCTGTATGTTTTTAACCACCTCACACTGGCTAATTCCTCAAGGTAGATGAGGCATTTGGAGTCTTAAAAGGAAGATTCGGGTTTGGCCCTCTTGCCACCTGCTGGCAGTCACTCTCCTCCCGCAGTCACACGTGTGCGTCTGAGGGCGCCCGCACACACTGTCCCTGACCGCGGAGCAGGCTTTCCAGTGAGAGCGCTCATGGCTTCATGACATGTTCTATCTCCTTTTCCATGCAGATTCCAGAACAGTTTGGTCCCATCCGGACGGTGGCTGAGGGCAAAGGTGACGTGATCTTGATAGGCACCACCAGGAACTCTGTTCTGCAGGGCACGCTGTCAGGGGACTTTGCTCCTATTACTCAGGTGCGTCCAGGCTCAGCAAGCCCCAACACCTCCTCTGATGAAGGGTAGAATAACGCGTTACAAAGAGGCAGTGATTCCTGCGTCTCATACTCCCATGACCTCCCTGCTTCCAGGCTTCAGGGGCCACAGGTTACTCGGGCAGAGAGAGACACTGAAGTGAGCCAGCACAGGGGGCGCTGCACCCTGGCCCACCCTTCCTGTGTGTTGCCTGCGATGTCTTGGAGCTCCCCCTTTGTCTTGCTTCCTTATAGGGTCACACTGATGAGCTCTGGGGACTGGCCATCCACGCCTCAAAACCTCAGTTCCTGACCTGTGGGCATGACAGGCACGCCACTCTCTGGGACGCAGCTGGGCACCGGCCCGTCTGGGACAAAGTGATAGAGGTAGACGTGCCCATGGCATTGTTCTTAGAAAGATTCATCTGCAATGTGGCCCTTTAGTTTTTTGGCAACAACTTGATGGGAAATTGTCCAAAGCAAATGGTTTCTCTTTAGAATTGTGTTGCTTGAAATTAGGCCTCGAGTGGTCTCCCCCCATGATCCTGTTTGCTGTTGAATTTTTCACCAGCGCGTTAGCCTTCCCGAGTGGTTTCGGGGTTCCTGAGTCTCTCTGCAGGCTGGCATGCTCAGCACCCTCACGGGGGGTGGGGGGAGCGGCTGGACTGGTTTGCGCTGAGTGAGAACCCACGGGCTGTTCCTACGACATCCTTTGTCTGTCCGATAGGAGTGTGGGGGCAAAGACCCAGCTTCCTTTCAGAGCCAACCACTCCTTGCCTTGGGGACAGGAGCTCAGGTGGCACGTATGATGAGCTGTTGGGGTTCAGAGGAGCGGGGCCCTTGGGTTGTCTCCAAGAACAGTTTCGGCAGAGTTCCCTTTCAGCCTGAGCTTCAGCCCAGCCCCACTTAGAAATATTTACAGCAACAAGGTCAAGGCCATCTGAAGAGCTGCTTGTCTCTCAGGCTTCCTCCCCTGACCTCCAGGCTCCTGCAATTCACTCTCCTCACTTTGCTCCACCCTAACACTCCTGCCCGCTGACGTTCTGTCTGAAACACATGGAACCAATCGGGCCACTCTTTGTATCAAAAGAAAAAAAATGACCTCCACTGTGTCCTGCTTCCCGGTGACTGGGTCCTTATCCGGCCCGGCAGCCGCCTCACAGCGCCCTCCCTTGCTCTCCCAGCCCCTCACACCCCGCGTCGGAAACCCACCTGCTTTCCTGCCAACCCACACTTCTCCCACCGTCACCTCCGCCTCTGTGATCACATTATTGTCCCCTTAATGCTGCCCCCCCCCCAAATATTGGTGCGTCCACTTCCACCATCACCAATGATAATCCTTCCTGGACCGGAAGGCCCAGTGCCCGGCCCTCTGCCAGGAAGCCTCTCTCCTCGATGGCCTCCTCCCACTGCCCCCTCCTGACCCCGCAGCTGGTCGCCACCACTTCCTGGGGCCATGGCCACTGTGTGTCGGAGCTGGTCGTGGACGCAGGTGGCCACCAGGTGGACACTGGGGCATGCCCCACCCTCTGAGAGCCCTCCAGGCTGCCGTGGTTTCCTGCCCAGTCAGCGCCCGACACCCATCTAAGGGGCTGGGCACAGCAGTCCTGCCCCCAGGCCCAACCAGCACACACTCAGGCCGGCTCTCAGCACAGGGCTTGGCCTCCAGCCTGGGCGGGCCACGTCCTGCTGGAACGACTGATCCCTGTGGCTGTGAGGGGGCTCAGGCCCACAACAAACTCCTGCAAGGATGAACGTTTAGGGTTCCTGAAATGTCACCTACATCCAAGGGGGGAGCATTTTCCTCTCTGGGGAAAAAGGTGTTTTCATGGGCTGGGTGGCCCCGGGATGGCGCTGCTCTGTGTGTGTTTTATGTGCTGTGCCGTGTCTGACCATCCATTTACACTTCCTTTAAAATATTTTAGGATCCAGCTCAGTCTTCTGGTTTTCATCCTTCAGGGTCTGTGGTTGCAGTCGGAACACTGACTGGGAGGTGAGTGCTCGGCCCCGACTGGCTCCCTGGCCCAGACTCGTGTGGGTATTTCTTGGGGACCCCCTTAGCACTCGGCTGCACCTCTCAGCGGCAAATCACTCCCCAAGAATTAAGTCAAAACTGGTCATTCCCTTTCTGGACCTGGGGAAAATCGGAGCCTAGCTCTGGGTCCCTCTTCTGAAGGGGTCCCCCCACCCCATGTTTCAGGAGCTTCTGAGAGTCCTCAGACCCCTTGGAATCAGGCAAGAAAGCATTTCAAAGTGCTGAGAACTTAAAAATGCTTTTCTGCTGCCCTTTCGGCACTCTGAAAATGCCGGGTGCCAAGCCTCAGACCCAGAACGGGTAGCGGGCACTGATCTGCGGGCAGCTGTCTGCGCTGGGCCCGCCTGCTGTCTGCCTCAGCGTGTTCCTTCTTCACACCCAGACGACCTCTGTCACTTTGCCACCTCCCGCGTGCATCTCCAGCAAAGCCTTACCTGGCTCCATGGCCAAAAAACAGACCCAGTTCTCCACCAGGCTGTGGGCACTGCTGGGGCAGGGGACAAACACTGCAGGTGCCCAGCCTCTGTGGTGCCGGGCGGGTGGCGAGGGCCGTTCTGGTCATGGTGCACAGTGGGGGCTGTTCCAGTCATGGTGCGCGCACCTGCTGGGCTCTCGTCTATGCACTGTTGGCGGTGTCCGCCCGCCCTTCCTTTCAGAACTCGTGCCACAGGATTCGCTGTTATGGCTGTGGGGGGTGTGTAAAGAGAGAGCAGCCTTGGCCGGTCGCAGTAGCTGGGAGAGCTGGGCCCACACACACAGCAGAGTTGTTCACGGACATGTTTGCCTTGCCACACATGTGTACCTGACTCCTCACATGCATGCAGCCGACTCCTCACATGTGTGCACATGACTCCTCACGTGTGTGCACCCAACTCCTCACACACGTGCATCTGACTCCTCACACGTGTGTACCCGACTCCTCATATGTGTGCACCTGACTCCTCACACACATGCACCCAACTCCTCACGTGTGCACCCAACTCCTCACGTGTGCACCAGCTCCTCTCATGCATACACACAACTTAATCTCTCGTGGAGAGGCGGAAGCTTTAAACTTAGCGACCCCGATGAGGGGCTGACCCAGTTGCCGCCGTCACCTCCATGCTGTGTGTGGTTGAAGGGCAACAATGCCAGGCTGCTAGGAGCCCCAGACAGTGTCCTCTGGGCGAAAGAGATGGAGCATGTGACCTAGTGCCTCCCCATTGCACCTGCAGCCTGGTCAGCCCTCCTCTCGGGTGCTTATCTTCTGGCCCCAGTTAAGCAGCACGTGAGCTGTGAGTGGCCGTTGAGCTGTCAGGAATCGAAGCTGAGTGCCCCAGTCCGAGGGGATGGGGGTGCCAGCTGGTGCCAAGTAGGGTGGGGTTAGGGCCCTGCTGGAAGGCGAGGAGCCAGTGGACATGCGTGGGGGTCACAGCATCTGGGTTGGAGTTGACAGCAGGAGGGAGCCCCCATTCCTTCTAGCCCCTGAGCACCTGAGATCTCCCCCCTACCACCCCCTGAGAGCACGGGCAGGAATTGTCACTCGCTCCATCGCCTCCCCTTTCCGACCCCACGCCTTGGTAGAGGTTGGCCTTGTACCAGGACCTGGAGCACCTCCACGCCCATGTGGACATGTCTACACTGAGCCCATGCAGGAGCCCGGGGCCTGGTCCCCATTTACAACTGCAGAAACTGAGCTCAGAGAGGCTAAATTCAAAGCCCAGCCTCCACTCTCCCTGCCTCTGCTCTGTCCTCCCCTCTGCCTGCCCAGGAGGACCCCACCTGAGGTGGCCCTTCCCGCTGCCCCTGGGGAAGCCCCCTCAGGGGCCCCTCTGCTGCCTCTTCCCTTTTGCACACAAGGGACGGAGCAGACACCGAGAATTCCACACCGCCCCGTAGTCGAGGGCCGCACCGCGGCTTTCTTTAGATGTTCCCGTGTCGGAAGTTTAAATGAGAGAGCTGGGAGCAAGTGTCCTTATGCAAACACAGTAGTAAGTCCTCAGATGAATTGTTTTTAACAGTCCAGCTGTCTTCAGCCTCATCTTTGCTCACTAAACTGCCTCTTGTCCTTTGCTGTTGGCAGGTGGTTCGTGTTTGACACCGAAACGACAGACCTGGTGACCGTGCACACGGACGGCAACGAGCAGCTCTCGGTGATGCGCTACTCTCCAGGTGGGAAGCGGCCCTGCCCGCAGCCCAGCCACCAGGGTCTGCCCAGGGCCCAAGGGAATGTAGCCCATCTGTGCCCATCAGCATGGCATCTGGGCCCTCCCCTCCTCTGGGTCACCCCCTGTGTGTGTTTAACTTTTATTATGGAAAATTTCAAGCACAGACAAAATTAGCAGAGCCAAATGCAGGCCCACGTGCCCATCACCAGCTGCAAGAATGCTCAGCTCAGCCCGTCCAGCTCACGTGCTCCAGGTTATTTTGAAGCAGCTCCCTCCCCATGAGGCTCTCATCTGGTGACATCACTGCATATATCTTGAGAAAGATGAGCGCTTTTTTAACAGCTTTATTCAGGTCATTTATATGCAATAATTGACTCATTATAAATGGGTCCATTTATAATGTTCACTAGAGTTGTACAGCTATCACCATAATCCAGCTTTGGGACTTTTCCATCACCTACCCCCCCACACAAAGTCCCCTCCTGCCCTTTGTAACACATCTTCATTCCTACCCCAGCCCTTGGCAACCCTCAATCTGTTCTGTCTCAAAATTGCCTTTTCTGACTATCAGTGGGATCCATAGCCTATTATGTCTGACTTCTTTTACTTAGAGTAACGTTCCTGAGATTATGTTATTGTGCCTGTATTAGTAGTTTGTTCATTTTTCACTACTGGATAGTATTCCACTTTATGGACATACCATATTTTGTTTGTCCGTTCATTAGGTAATCAATACTTGGATCGTTTCTGGCTTTTAACAGTTATGAATCATGCCGCAGTGAACATATGTCCTTTTATAGGCATTTGTTTCAATTTCCTTTGGGTAAATTGCTAGGAATTGGTGGATTGTATGATAAATTTGTTTTATGAAACTACCAAACTGCTTTCCAGAGTGGCTGTACTATTTTTATCAGAGATGTGTGAGGGTTCTTCACCAACTCTAGTTATTTTCTTTTTCATAACAGTCATCCTGACACAGGTGTAGTGATATCTCATTGTGGTTTTGAATTGGCTGGTTATCACACATGCCAAGCATCTTTTCATGTGCCTTTTAGTTATTCTTTTATCTTCTTTGATGAAATATCTCTTTAATTTTTTTCCCAGTTTTTAATTGTATTTTTTGGCTTACTATTGAGTTGTAAGAACTCTTTACATATTCTATACATAAATTCCTTATCCTGATATGTGATTTTCAAATATTTTCTCCCAGCGTATGGTTTATCTTTCCATGTTCTTAACATGTCTTTTAAGTGCAAGCTTTTAATTTTGATGGAGTCCGGTTTATCACTGTTTTGTTGATGTCAAAGCCAAGGTTAAGAATATTTTCTCCTATGCTTTCTTTAAAAGGGTTATTTTAATAGTTCTGTGATCCATGTGTGTCTGTGATCCATTGGGAGTTCATTCTTGTGGATGGTGAAAGGTGAGAATCTACATTTCTGCATGTAGATGTCCATTTGTCTCAGCACCTTTTGTCAAAAAGGCAATCGTGCCCTATTAGATGATCTTACTAGTACTTTCATCAGAAGTCATTGGACCATAAATATCAAAGCTTTTTTCCAGACTCTAACCTTCATTTCTGCACTCTAACCATTCACATGCCTTTATACTTGTGCTGTGCCTCAGTCTTGTTTGCAGTGAGTTTAGAGTAAGTTTTGAAACCTTCTTGTCCTTTTTCATTGGTATTGACTCCCTCAGGTCCTTGCCACTTAAAATTTTTTTTTCTTTTTTAAGATTTATTTATTTATACATACAAGAACTGGGGTACAGACCAGAGATGTGGGGGGTGAGAGGACCCACCAGAGACAGAGCAGGGAACAGAACAGGCAAATCGACCAAAGTACACTGCTGAGGGGAGCAGCGGGCGAGCCAGGAGAGGTCTGCTGTGCCATGTGGGTAGCTCCCTGGCTGGCCGGGATCGAGCACATGCTGCAGAGGCTGCGGATTGCTTCACAGTGCCATGCTTAACCCCATGTGCCACCAGGGAGGCCCAACCACTTTAAATTTTAGAGTCAACTAGTCAGCTTCTAATTTGAAAAACCTTCCAGAATTTTAATAGTATGTACATTGAATTTATAGATTAATATGAGGAGAATTGCTACTTGACAAAATTGAGTCTTCTAATCCTTGAATGTAGTTTGCCTGTCCATTTCCTATATTTAGTAGAGATATAGTAGTACCTCTTTATTTTTTAGTATCTCAAGCTTCAATTTTTCTCAATGATGTTTTATGGTTCTTAGTGCCCTTCCTTTGCTGAGTTATTTATAAGCTGCTTTTTAATTCCGTTATGAATGGAATAGTTTTCTTCTTTTTTTCCTACAATGTTAATATGTTGATAGATAAATAAAATAAAATTTATTTTTGCACAAGGATTTTTATATCCTGTGACCTTTTTGAGTCTTTTTTCAGATTAGTTTTAAGGGTGGGTGTGTGTCTATAATCCTTAGGATTTTCTTCATGTCGGATCATGTCATCTGCAAATAAACACAGTTTTGCTGCTTCTTTTCCAATCCAGGTGCCTTTAATTATTTTCTTCCTGGTTACATTAGCCACCACCTGCAATATAACATTGAACAGAAATGGCAAGAGTGACAGGTCCTTGTCTTGGCCCTGTCTTAGGAGGAAAAGCATCCAGACATTCACCATTATGAGCTCACATGTCCTTTGCCATGCTGGGGAAGTTGCCTTCTGTTCCCAGATTGTTTAGGGTTTTTATCCTCAATGGAATCAGGGTTTGTCAAATGCTTTTTCTGCATCTGTTTGATGCGATTGTATGGTTTTTAGCCTTTATTTTACTGACATGGTATATTATGCTAATTTTCAGATATTAAACCAATTTTTCATTCCTGGGGTAAATCTCTCTTGGATGTGGTTTATAGCCCTTCTTATATATTGCTAGATTCCATTTGTTAATATTCTCTTAAGGATTTTTGCATCTAAATTCATGAGGGATATTGCCTGTAATTTTCTTGCCTCATGATAGTTTTATCTGGCTTAGTAGAGTTCTACTGACCTTTAGATTAAGTTGGGAAGTTATCTTCTGAAAGAGTTTGTGAAAGATTGGTATTTTTTTTATTAAATGTTTGATAGAATTCATGTGAATTCAGTGAAACTTTTGGGCTTTTCTTTGTTGGAAAGTTTCTAATTACTCATTTAATTTCTCTACTTGTGAGTTTAGTCAAATTTTCTACTTCTTGAGTCAGTTTTGGTGATTTGTCTATTTTATCTAAGTTGTCTGATTGGTTGGAATAAAATTGTTTATAATACTTTCTTATAATCCCTGTAATTTTTTGAAGTAGTGGTGAGATCCCCTCTTTCATTCTTGATTTTGATAACTTGTGTCTTTTCTCAGCTTTTCTTGGTTAATCTGTCTAATGATTTGTCAATTTTATTGACCTTTTCAAAGAACCATCTTTTTGGTTTTGTTGATTTTTTCTGTTATTTTTCTGATTTCTTTTTTCTGTTTGATCTTTCTTATTTCCTCTCCTCTACCTGATTTGTTGGCTCTTCATCTTTAGTTTCTTAGGGTGGAAGCTTAGGCTATTGGAGACCTTTTCTGGCATAGAAGTTTGGAGCTATAAATTGCCCCTTAAACTGCCTTAGCCACATCCCATACATTTTAAAATGTTGTATCTTCATTTATTTCAAAATATATAATTTCCTTGATAATTTCTTCTTTGGCCTATTGGTTATTTAGAACTCTACTGTTTACTCAAAATGTTTGGATTTCCCATACTCCTTCCTGTTATTGTTTTCTAATTTAACTTCATTGTGATCATAAGACATATTTTGTATGACTTTAGTAATTTTAAATTCATTGAGACTTGTCTACGGCCATACCACCCTGAACGTGCCCGATCTCGTCTGATCTCGGAAGCTAAGCAGGGTCGGGCCTGGTTAGTACTTGGATGGGAGACCGCCTGGGAATACCGGGTGCTGTAGGCTTAAAAAATAAATAAATAAATAAATAAATAAAAATTCATTGAGACTTGTTTTGTGACATAGCCGATGGTCTATCCTGAAGAACATTCCATGTACATTTGAGAAGGATGTGTGTTCTGCCACCTTGGGTAGAGTGTTACATATATGTCAAAAACAGAACAAGTAGATTACTGATATTGTTCTAAGTTGATTGATAGTGTCATTCAATTCACCTGTATCCTTGCTGATTTTCCAATTGCCCTATCAGTTGTTGCAAGTGAGATACTGAAATCGCCAACAGTTACTATTGAATGGTTGATTTCTCTTTTTGACTGGACCAGTTTTTGCTTTGTGTGTCTTGAATACCTGAATGGACAGAGGTTATGCTCAAGCACCTCGGGCCAGGAAGGCTTCCATCCTGTCTCAGTGGATGTGGGTGAAGGTTGAAGAGTGCATTCAAAGTTAAGGCCACTTCCAAGTCTGCCCTGCCTTTGACTTTCCTCTGGCCCTTCTGCATTTCTCTGTGTGAAGCCTCAGTTTAGCTAGCAATGTGTGGATAACAAGCATCCTCCCTTGCCTGCACCGTGCACACACACAGCCTCCCATCAGCCAGAAATCTGCCCGCTCCAACCATGAGCACAGCTGTAGACTAGCAGAGCCATCAGCCCTCCCCACTCAATTTCCCTGGAGATTGTCACTTCCATTGACAGCGTCGCCAGGGCTTCATACTGAATGGAATTCCTTTGACCGTGAGGACAAAACTGCTAAGCCTCACAGCCTGCTTTTCCCTGGCAGAACATCTGTGCCAGCTGAGCTGGTGGGAGGGCACAAGAGCAGCCCCAGGCAAGGACATCACAGGCTTATTCTTCTCACCTGAAATTCAGCAGTTTTTCAAGCCTTCTCAGATGGTTTTATCTTTGGCCAAGGTGCTGAAATGATTGGCTTTGGCAGTTTTTAAAGCTTTATAATTACTTTATAGGGAGAGGATTTGCCAACCATCTCATTTCCCTACAGCAAAAAGTGTTGCCCACTTGTTTGCCTCCCCTGGTGGTGCAGCGGTTGAGCGCTGGGCTGCGAGGCTGCCCACAGCCTCTGCAGTGCTGGTTCGTTCCTCAGCCGCCGGCAAGGGTCCCACAAAAAAAAAAAAAAGACATTTCCCTTCAAGTACTATTTTGCTATCCAGGTAGTATACTATTTTATTGCCCGATAGGATGATAGAGTTTGTATATGAAGTCAAAATAAATGCTTGATTTATTTCACTTTATTTACTTAATTTCCAAGGTAATGGGTTTATTCTCTGTACCCTTTACCAGTGATCAGTTGTGGGGAGAGAGGGAGAGGTTGGCGCCAATATGAATTTAGATATATTTGCTGTGTTTCAATCTGTGACAGTGACAGCAGGTGGAACAGTTTGTCCGTCATTGGCCCATGGAAGCTGCTTCAGGCTGACCCCTGTGTCCTTTGACAGTGTGTGCTGGGAGTGCTCATTCTGCCAGGCAGGCGTTGTCTCTAAGCCTGATCATTGTACACTGTGTTTTAGGAAATACTATTTTGCTGTGACGCACAGGACATGTGACTTGGTGAACACTCCTGGAAGTAGCAGTTTTGGCCCTTGAGAGTATGTGACCATGACTGGGCTGCCTCTGTGTGGAATCTGCTGTTTTATAAGCTGCTTCACGGCCATGTCTGCCTCACGGCAGGGCTGTGTCTGTGATCTCTAGAGGTAGCCTCGGAGAAGGTGCACGCCCTTTTGGATGCTTTTTCCTTGTGCCTGAGCAAAGTTCATAACTTCTCACCATAAATGGACCATAAATGGACACCTGCACAGGCATCCTGAGAGCATTCCTCCTTGTCGAGAAAGAGCATCCCCAACTCACGATGCATTGCGTGCTTGACATTCAATACCGTATTTCTTCTTTCATTGCCACCCAGTATTCTGCGTCCCCTTATGTGTTTGTCATTGTTTTCTTGGTTATTTTGAACCTCTGCTACTTACAAGAGTCCTCATCTACAGCCTCTTTTCCTAGAAAGTCCTTATTTACCTGTCAGCTCCCGCTAACCTGAGAGTGTCCTTTGGGAGTATATTTAATTCCATTCCTCGTTAGCTACACTAATGACCATTCCCTGGAGACCAGAGAGCTCTTTTTACCTAGAATCCTGCCCCTTGGGCTTTACAGTCATTACTGGAGGCTTCAAAGGCTTTAACTCTGTGCTAAATTAGGTCAAGCTGCATTTGAATCTAATGCCCATTCTTCGTAAGCCGGGTGACCCTTGACAAAGCAGAAAGCAGGTTTTTGTGAAGCTCAACTGAAAAAGGCGTGACTGTGCTCTTTGAGGAGTGGCACATCGTGTGATACCATTGATGATGCGATGTTGTCATTGGCAGTGGCAGTGATGGTGGCTCCAGTCCTCAAGGAATGACCCCAGACCCACAGCGGCATGACCCCATTTGGTTCACTCTATGCCTGGCACTTAGCATGGGATCTGATACAGACTAACACTCAGTCAGTATTATTTGCATGAGCACAAGCTATACAGTGCAGCTGACTGAATACACAGCAGAGTGTGATCAATAGTATAAGTATTCTGGTTGCAGACAAGATTATTCTGGTGCATGAACTCTAACACTCACTGTAGTGTGAGTATATTTTAATTAAGTATTTACAGATTTTAGGTTTTTTTTTAAAGCCTCAGATATCAGAACATAGGCTGCTATTGATCTGGAGTTCCAGGAGACTGCTGCCAATAGCAGCCTAGATGTGCAGCCCACCTTCCCACAGCTCCCTAAGCTGTGCTGTGCTAAGTAGAGGGGTGTCACTCCCTCAATCTCAGGAAAGTTGTGCTAGCTGCTAGAGGAAAAGCTAGTGGTTGTTGAGCTTTGTGGGTCATGCTGACCTTTCAGGAGGACCAATGAACCATAGCTTCCAGGCCCCTGACCATGGGCAAATGCTGCCTTTGCACTTAGTGGCATAAGTGGACATTGGTTCATTGCCACAGCCAGACTATATGGAATTGAGCTTCAGGATAAAATGAGACTGCTTCATGAAACCTCTTTAAGATTGCTGCAAAGCATGTAGGGGGCGAGGGCTGAGCAGTTACATCATAAAGTTAAGCTGCTGTCTGAATTTCTTGACTATGTGGCACCAGTGGGAGGGCCAGTATTAGCTGCTAATCTATTTCTTGCATTTGGTGGTAGAAAAAGGTTCAGAGAGTTCCAGAATTACTGGTACCTTCCAGGAATCAAACAGTGAAGCAGGGCCCTGAGCAAGTGTTTGAATTACCTACAGTGGGTGGGGAGATTCTTTGGTACCCTGAGAACCACAAATCAGAGAAATTATATGGACCATCTAATAACTATTTCACTCACATTTTCTTAAGTATTCTTCACTTATGAGATATTTTGTCTTCTGATAAGAAGCTAACATCATATAAAGTTTTCCTGAAACTATAGTCAACTCTGTTTAGAGAGGTGGAGTGTTTCTGCTTTTATTAGAATGAATCAGAACCTGCAATTCACTTGCATCATTTTCAACTTCAAATCCCACCTCTGCTGCCTGGGTATTAGACCTACTATGATCCCACAGTGCACCAGCCACACTCTCCCCATGCCCCCAGCATCCCTACCACCTGAATTCTACCACTACCCTGTGCTGTTCCCAGTACAGATCACAGTGCCCCATGTAACAAGCAGGGTGGACACACAGCGGCCAGACACCTTCCACCTGTAGCACCAACTTCCATCCCCTCACTTCACACAGCCCAGATCAGCTGTGCCGCTCTCTTAGCTGTGTCACCTTAGGCAAGAGATTGAACATCAGTTCCTTCGTCTAAGCAGCAGAAAATTTATACCCATGAAGAGAACACTCTTGACCTTGGTTAAGACCTGTGTGAAGCCAGCCAGCAAAACTGACTGTAGTCTTGTCTTTCTCCTCTGGATAGCTGGACTCTCGCACTCTGTCTTTACAAGTTCTCCAGCTGATTTTTCTTTTGGATCAAACACCAGCTTCTTTTTGTGGAATAAGTTTAGGAATTTTATAGTCTCTGAGAGAGCTTATGGGCTTTATCAGGAAAGATGGGGATTGTTTACAAAGAGAAAAAACTGCTCTGTTGGTCCTGAGAAATAGGCAGTACCTGCGTTAGCATATTAACTAAAACTGGTTGGTTTTGATATATCAGGTAGACAGTTGGTTTTATGTGTTTATAAGTGAATGTAGATAAAAGAGCCATGGATTCAAAGGCAAACCTGGACAAGCAGAAGAAAGAGTCAGCAAACTTGAAGACAAAAGAATGGATATTATCAAGTCTGAGAAACAGAAAGAAAAGGATTAAAGGAAAGTGAACAGAGTCTAAGGGACCTATAGAGTACCATAAAACAAACCAGGATGCGTGCCATGGCACTCTTAGGATGAGGAAAGAGAGAGACAAGGACAGAGAGAACATTTGAAGAACTAATGACTGAAAACTGCGAGTTGGTGAAAGACATGAATATGAACATCCAAGAAGTTCAAGGACCTCTAAGTGAGATGAACTCAGAGCCCCACACTAAGACATATTATGACCAAGCTTGCAAAAGACAAAAACAAAAGAGAATCTTGAAAGCAGCAAGGGAGAAGCAAATCATCACTTACAAAGGATCCTCAATCGGAAACATTTCCCTTCAGAAATCTTTGAGACTGAAAGACAGTAAGTTGATATATTCAGAGTGCTAGAAGAAGAAAAAACGTCAACCAAGAATCCTATTTCCAACAAAACTGTCCATCAACAGTGTCTTTTCAAAGATAACTTTGGAAGTGAGATAGGATTCACTCCAAAGCAAGTTTTTCCATTGAAATAATTAATCTGTTAATAATTCTAAATTGATAATGGCAACTGTGTTAATACTTGTAATTGTAAAATGTTTATTTTTAACAATTGACTTGCCATCTGTCATGTTTTTATAGATGGGAATTTCTTGGCGATTGGCTCCCACGACAACTGCATCTATATCTATGCAGTCAGTGACAACGGCAGGAAGTACGCGCGGGTTGGCAAGTGCTCGGTAAGCGCCCTTCACCTCCCATGCTGTGAGCAGTCACTCCAGTACATGAGTCAAGCATTAATCAGGAGTTTGTAAGTCAAGCAAAACTGCCATGTGTTCCCCTCCCAGGGTCATTCCAGCTTCATTACTCACCTGGACTGGTCTGTAAACTCACAATTCCTCGTGTCAAATTCCGGAGACTATGAAATCCTTTACTGTGAGTAGCTCCCAGGGGGTGTCTGGGTTCAGATCACATAGAACATTCACTCAGAGACCATGAGGGGGCCTCCTACCAGAACCCACTTCCTTTCCTCCTCTGTGGAAAAAAAAATGGGCTGGGCTGGACAACCTCCCAAGTCCCTCCCAAGACTGAGATACTTAGGGTTCCAACCAGCCTTGGGTCCCCAAGGAAGAGAAGGCCAGACCTTACAGAGAGGGGCTGGAATGGGCGGATGTGGCAAGAATGAGAGTCGTCACAGTGAGAGACACCCTGGGTCGAGATACACCTGAAGTCCAAGCTGCCAGAGAGCACACAGGCTCTCCCCCTGGGGGGATAGCAGCCTCGGAGCCCCTCCTTTCTTCCAGCTCCCCCTGGCCAGTAACTGCCCAGCAGGATCCAGGAGCAACAAGGATGATAAAGGCTGGTGACCATTAGCACAGGCCACCAGCCATGTGCTGGTTCCTCAGACATTGGTCAAGCTCCTACTGGTGCCCAACCTGGGACGGAACACAGGGATCGGGGCAAGAGGCCACATTTTCACATGTGATCTGCAACAAATTCAAGCATATCCCATTTTATAGACAAGGAAATCTAGGCTTGTAGGTACCGAGAGCCAAGGCAGGGAGGTGGATGCCCACCTGAGTGAGTGCCATGCAGGGCTGCTGGAGGAAAGGGGGAGATGACATGTTCCAGAACCTCCTCACCCTCTTCAAGGTCCTCCCCACCTGAAGCAGGGGATGGTTTTCAGGGACAGCCCCTGGGTCTAGACTCTTCTCAGACACAGTCTCATACTCCACTTGGGGAGCTGGCAAATCATCTGGGAGACCAGAGGTCCCTGGTATGGCTGGTTTCCATGAGTTTCCATCCCTAACTGGGAGCTGAAGGAATTGGGGTGTGGGTGTGTGTGTGCGTGTGCACGCGCGCATGTTTTCCAGCTGGGGGGAGCTTATCAGCTGGGATGAGATGCGTTCAGAGGCTCCATGGGGGACAGCGAGCAGGTAGACACCTAGGAGCCCGAGGAAGCTAAAGAAGGAAGTGGGAAGAAAAGCAGAAGAACAGGTGGCCCCACAGAGATCCCCATCTTGTGTTCCAGTGCCAGCTGTGAGCACACTTCCCTGGGGCTGGGAGGCGGAAGGGCCCCCCTCTCGGCACTCTGCAGATGGCGGGCCTGCCTGTGAAGGCTCCCAAGTCATGGCCCATGAACTAAACCCAGACCTTGGCTTTCCCAGGGGTCCCCTCAGCGTGTAAGCAAGTCGTAAGTGTGGAAACCACAAGAGACATTGAGTGGGCCACGTACACCTGCACTTTGGGATTCCACGTCTTTGGTAAGTCATTTGCTATCCACTTTAGGCTATTTCTCGCATGGTTAGGGAATCTCAGAGTCACCAAGTTTGATCAAACTGCACTGTCGCCTTGGGGCCCCTGCCCAAGGCACTCTCCCTGCAGCAACCGGGGATGGAAGGGCTTGCCCCGAGAAGGACCAGAAAGTGGACTTAACCCTTGCCTATTGAGCAAAATGGATCCTGAGATAATTCTCTAGAATCTTCCCACACAGGGTTGTGTCAGACATCCTATGGGGTCAGCTCTTAGATGACTTACGGCAGATGCCCACTTTATGACCACCCCACCCTGCGGTCATCCTTATGATGCATCTGTCCCATAAAATGTCCCATAAAAATGTCAGTCACTTGACAATTTAACGTGCCCAGTACAGTTGCCATCAGCCTGACCACCTGGGGCTGCTGGGAAGGGCCGTGGGCACAGCTCCCATCTCAGACGTCCCACCTGAGGCTCCTTCCTCTCCTGGGCCACGGCTCTTCTTAGTAGAGAATGTGTTGGTTTTTATTCCTCCTGTGTCCTTTTGGAACAAGTGGTGGTTGTTGAGTTACATAAAAATATTATGCTAAACTGTAACCCTGGGTCCTAAGCACTTAATTAGAAAAAAAATTATTAAATTGAAATAAGAAATTTGTTTTTAAAAAAAAGCACAATGGTAGTGTAAAAGTTAGTGAGTTGGTACAAGACTTTGGTCTTTCCCACCCCCCCCCCCATTAGCAAACTTCAAGTGATTTTGAGAAAACTTTTCCAAGTTACTAATTTTTTATTTTATCCTTTTAATGTTAATAAAAATGAAAATTTCTCAGTACTTTTGTTGTTTATTGTGTAAATCACAGTCAGACATGAACTGTGCTGAACTTTTCAAATTATGACGTTTTAGAACAAATTATATGACGGCAATGTATTTTTTTACATTTTACTGTCATTTAAAATCTCTCATCAAATTCCACCAAAGATTATCAGTCATGCCATGATTAGCTTTCTATAACAAATTAGCTTTCTATAACCACTTTCTTTCTGCATAAAAATCAGTGTCAATGAAATAAAAAATAAAGCTGGGCCTTCCTGGTGGCGCAGCAGTTGAGTGCTGGGTTGTGAAGCTGCCCGCAGCCTCTGCAGCGCCGGTTTGATCCCCGACTGCTGGCAAGGGTCCCACGTGGCACACAGACCTCTCTTGCCGCGCCCGCTGCTCCCCTCAGCAGTGTACTTCATCAGTCTGCCTATTCTGATCCCCGCTCTGGCTCTGGTGAATTCTCTCACCCTCCCGTACTTCTGACTGTACCCAGTGCTTGTATGAATAAATAAATAAATAAATAAATCTTTATAAATAAATAAATGAATAAATAAATAAATAAATAAAATAAAGCTGCTACAAGGCAAAGAATACTGACCTGTTTTAAACGTCAGCCCCAGGTTTCTTCCACTTACTTAGCTGCCGAGAATGAATTGTGTATAAGCAAAACCTGCAACGCACTGCAGTGTCGAAGGGCTCAAACTTAGAGATCTAGATTTTATCAGATCCATGAACAAAATTTTTAAAAGCAGTCATCGTGTAAAATAGCAGCTGCCAGAACCTTCGCGCTTGACCTTCAGAAGTTGACTCACTGCAGCTTGCTTCATTTTTGGAAGGCTCGTCAGAATTTTCCACAGGATCTGGAACTTCATCCTTACCCACCTCTCCAGCCGCAAGCGATGCTTTTCCCTCCCCAAGCGGTTTGGACAGAGCGTCAGCCAGTCTCCTGAACTGGCCAGACTGCCTGCTGCAGGCTGTTGAGGAGGCTGGGGCCCTGCTGTCCAGTGGCCTGTGAGGGGGGCGTGTCAGAGGCGCCTCCCTTCAGTGGGTCTGTGGTCTTGGCCTGTGAGCACATTCACCTCTTCAATACCAGAGATGCTTCTGTAAGGAGAACCGAGTTCCTTACCATTTGCTCAGCTGCCCGTGAACCACCTTCTTCTCTCTAAAAACAGCACCTTTCCCGCCAACTTGCACATGTGCCTGCCACATGGCGAGTTTCTCCTGGTTCATGATGGTCTCTTTCATCTTGTTGGAAAAGAAAAGGGGCCCCTCAGAGAACTAGGGTTCACACTCAGGGGATCTGGGGAGGACCAGCTGAGGTTAGGCGCACACACGCGGGACCTGCCAGTGTACTGGTGGATCAACATTATGATATTTTCACTATCCAGTAGCATCTGAAGAGTGGATTAGTATCATAAAGCAGAGGTCTGTGATAGTTATGGTAGAGTTATTATCTCTTTTTTGGTTCTTAAACTATTTCACTTCAAAGTTCAGCTTTAGAACAGATTCTTAAATGATCAAAAATAAATTGCCACAATTTAGTAGAATAAAAAAGAAAAGGCAATATTTATTAGCTCTTTACATAAGACCTACATCAGTAGTCAGTTGGAATTCACAAATCTTTTTAGAGTGACAGTTGACAGTTTGCTAGTGTTAAATGCTGGGACCCCTGGATTTACACCAGAGCTGCCATTTGAGAAACTGGTATGTATCCAGTTCTATCATATCTGAAGTTACCGGAATCAAAAAGGGTTTTCTGGAGAGGTGGTCAGGAGGCACCATTCCCCAGACCATGTCCCAGACCACAACAAGCAGATCCCACACCTGCTGGGTACCAGCAGGCAAGCAGCATCCACAAAGAGCTGACACCAAAGATACACTCAGATGCAGGGTTAAAAAGGCCTTTGGAGAGCCTCTCATATGTGAAGAGTTACCCCAGGTAAAGAACAGGAAACTACAGGCTTGAGTACTAGTCAGTTTTCCATTAGATGCTTTGGAGATAATGGAAACCATTATCTCGCAGGGGTTCTGGCTTTCTGCTGCAGAAGGAGCCTCAAAAAAGGTGGGCAGCCAGTGAGCCTGTCTTTGTTACTCTGCATCAAAGGTTTTCTAGGACTGCCTGGAATGATGATCCAGGGAGAGGCTGGAGCAAGGATAAAGCCTTCCTCTGGTTCTGGCTTCAAAAGCCTTAGACATAAGGTGATTTTATTTTCCCAAGAGCTCGACCATCAGTCCGTGTGGTGTGGCCCCTTTTACAGGCACGTCCAGTGCTGTGTTCATGTGTTTGTTTTAGGAGTGTGGCCGGAAGGCTCAGATGGAACCGATATCAACGCTGTCTGTCGGGCCCAAGAGAAAAAACTCCTGTCGACAGGGGACGACTTTGGCAAAGTGCACCTCTTCTCTTATCCCTGCTCGCAGTTCCGGGTAAGGGGTTGTCTTCTCTGACCTCACCTATTATGGGGTGCACCCTTCCAGCCTGAACTGGCTGTTTGGTAATCGCCCCAAAATGTGCTGGGGTCCCGCTGCTTTGGGGGCTCCTCGTTGCTCTCCACAGAAAGCCCTGACCCTCTCAGGGCCTACAAAGGAGCCCCAGGACCTGCATCCCCTCTCCACCTCACTCCCGCTGCTCCAGCCCTGCTGAGCAGCACCTGTGGCCAGCACGTCCTTCCTCACCCTTCTGGGACCTGGTCCTCCTTCCTTGAGGAGGGCCCCATCTTTGCCCTCCAGAGTGTGGTTAGCCCCCTGGGCCACCATGCCCCCCACCAGCCCCCTGCCCCGGGGACTGTCACTGGCAGTGACAGTCCCAGCCCAGGGTGGTCATTTGCTCCTGTCTGTCGCCCACCAGGCCAGGATTCTCCATGTGAGGGAGGCAGGCCTCGGGGGTGTGGGGGGCGGGGGGAGCTGTACCCACCTGTGTCTGTGCAAGAGTAGGTATAGAATTCCAGCACTTTCCAGCCATCAGCTCCTCTGTCATCCTCCCCAGGCTCCCAGCCACGTCTACAGTGGGCACAGCAGTCACGTCACCAGTGTCGACTTCCTCTGTGACGACAGCCACCTCATCTCCACGGGCGGCAAAGACACGAGCATCATGCAGTGGCGGGTCATCTAGTCCTGGGCAAGAACCTGGAGCAGAACAGGCTGAGGACGGCCCGGCTGCTGGCCCCTCGCTGTCACTGTGATTTCTGTCTTGTTCTTACAAACCTCAGGAAAACTCTGCCCCTACCGCTTACCTTAGCTTGGTGCATCCCGAGCAGCCCAGCAGGGGGGCCCGGCAGGGTTCCCTCTGGGGTGGTGGGGGGGGAGATCCATGACACACATTTCATAGAAAAAAGACGCCAAGGTTTACATTACAGCGACATCAACAAGAGTCACTGGTATGTCCTTAGTAACTTTTCTACGAACCCTTCAAAAATGGTCACAGGATGCCTTTCAAATACTGCGGCAGGCTCTGCTGTTTCTCGTCCCGCTGGCCGCGGCGGGTGTCCCTGGGGTGTCCCTGACAGCGAGGAGTACCGAGCTGTGGTCGCGGGGTGCCCGGCCCAAGAGGACAGGTGGGGGGGGGGGGCGGCTGACCAGCCTCCCAGGTGGGCTTGAGTGTGAGCTCGATGCGTTCCCCTTGCACCTCCCTCTGGGCTGGAGGGAGGAAACCGATGTATCCTCTTGGGTTAAGCCGATTAGTCTCCTCATTGTTTGAAGAATTGCAGCAGTATAGACAGGCCCTTCGGTGCTTCAGCTGGACAGGACCCCGCTCTGGGCGGCCAGGCCTCCCCTGCACGAGCTGCGCCCTGAGGTGGAGACGCAGCCACCTCCTCTGTACAGGAATTGGCATGAGACCGTGTTGTACTTGTCTAGGACGTTAGCAACTCATAATAAACACGTCAGGCTAGGCTTTGCTCTTTTATGCTCTTGGACACTATAATTTTGTATTTTAAGACCAAGTAGACCAAGTCAAAAGATCTCTCTTAAGTGTACCGTGCACCTGCGGCCGGAGGTGCGGAGGCCCGGGGCGCGCCCACAGGCGGGGCGGATTGAAGTGTTTACATTGGGGGATGTGTCTCAGACCTGCAAGTAGAAGCGTGATGGATGGACTTAAAAACAAAAATGAAGATTTACTTGTTCCAGGCACGTCACCGCCTCAGGCAACCTGGCCGCACGCACTGGCCGGCCCCAAGGACTGGCCCACCGAAGGGTCCCCGCGGAGGGCCGGACTCCAGCCCATAGTGTGTATTAAAGACGGATCTGTTTGTATGTATCCTTATCAAATATATTCTATAATGAAATGAAGTCTCAAAAGTGGATTTCTTATTGACCTATACTCATGAAAGTATATGAATTAAAATATTTAAAATTAGATACGATTCACACTAGATTCTGTTTCCTGTTCAGGTGTTCCTTTCCTCACCCCGCCATTTGCAAGTGGGGTCCTTGGTGGACTAGAAAACAGAAGGACTCTGCTTAATTACATCCCCCTTGCTGGTTTACTGGGTTATGTAAATTCTGGCAAAACTGCAGAAATAATCAGATCAGGGAAGGCAGAGGGAGCCGTCATTGACTTACAAGATCTGCTGCTTCTGTCTATTCCTAGCATATATATAGAACCTATGAGTTAGGTTATAATATATATTATAAGCAATGAATATGATAAGTAATAGAAGTAATCTGTCTTAGCACATATAAACTGTAGTTTGTGTGGATTAACTCGCTGCTGCCTTGGCACTTGCCTGCATGGTAAATGAAATTCTTTAAGGACAGGATCAACCTGGCAGGTGTTCATTGTTTGCTAATCCTGAGCCCAGTGCGCTCTGGCCCCCACCCCCACCCACCACCTATCAGGCAGACAAACCTAGAACCCTCAGGAGCCTGCTCAGCCAGAGGCCCCAGAGCAGGGTTGACCAGCAACCTGAGGCCAGCCCTCTTCATCCAGTGGCCCATGGGCACCTGAGCCCTTGGCCTGCTGCAGAGAATGCCAGGAGAAGGGCTGTTACTGGAATCTGGGTGAGGTGATATTATGAGGACTTGGGTGCAAGCAGTCGCGGAGGGGAGAAGGATGGCCCGAGAGGTTTCAGGGGCGATGTCAGCAGGCCTGGGGCAATGGACATGATCAGGCCTGGCTCCTGGTGCTCCCCGGTCAGATGGGCATGCTGATGGCAAAGAGGGGGGGTGCTGCCAGCTTCAGAGGATGCAGAGCAGGCCGTGGCCAGATTGAAGAGGGAAGGGTCCTCTTCCATCTCCACGTGCAAGCGCAAGCTCAGAACAGAAACTGGCTGCAGGTGCGGGAGGCGCAGCCAGGGAGGTAGGCATTGAAGCCAGAGCCAGAGCCAGGGAGGGTGCAGATTTCAGGGAGCTGGTCAAGCCCTCAAGGGCCCCTGATCCTCGGGGGATGGTGAGGGGGCTCTGGAATTCCAGGACAGGTGGAGGAGCATGGGCTGCCAGATAGGTGGGAGGAAGCCAGGAGGGGGCCCGGGCCAGGCAGAGGACAGACCCCCCCCACAGCGAGCGGGTAGGGCCTGCAGCAGTGCCTTGGGCTGGCTCAAGCCACAGCGGGTGAGATTTTCACCAGTTTCCTAGCATTCGAGGTGCTGGGTGGGAGATGTGGTGTAGTAGAGAGGGCCCCCCAAGTGAGGACGAGAACCCAGGTTGGGGATCCATGGGGGTAGGCATGGTCACATGGGGGTCTCTGGGGCCAGCTGGAATTGGGGGGAGAACATGGGGTGGGTCCTGGCTTTCAGAGACCTCTGATTCCCCATGTGAGGTGCAGGGGGTGCACCCAACAGTGGGGGTGTACCTGACAGTGGGGGTGAGGCTGCAAAGCCTCCAGGCATCTTCCCCAGCTCCTCATTTTCCATACTTCTGACCCCCAGCATTAGCCCTTGTCATTATTTGGCCATTTTTTCCTGTGATTCGGAAACAGGCTTCCGCCATGAAGACTTTGAGGCCAAAGAACACATGAAGCAGCAACCCTGGAGAACCCCAGGCCACCTGGAGCCACGGGGGGGGGGGGCATCTGATGCACAACTGGGGCTACAGCTTTTTGTGAAAATGAGCTGAGAAATCTGTGCTCCTTGCAAGGTAGAAACTGCTTCCAGGCTGGTCTTCCTGCTGATTCTTTTTTTTTTTCCCTAAAGATTTATTTATGCATACAAGACCTGGGGCACAGACCAAAGGTGCAGGGGGTGAGACACCAGAGACAGAGTGGGGAACAGAACAGGCAGACTGACTGAAATACACTGCCGAGGGGAGCAGCACGCAAGTCAGGAGAGGTCTGCTGTGTTAGGTGGGTACCTCCCTGGCTGGGGATTGAACTTGTGCTGCAGAGGCTGTGGACAGCTTCCTAGGTTGTGTCTTAACCCCTTGAGCCTCCAGGGAGGTCCTCCTGCTGCTTCTTTTAACCCATATATCTATCAAACATATACAAAGCAGGAGGAGCCTTTCATCTGGCTTTAAAAATTATTGATATTTAGAAAATCTATTTCCAGCTTCTGGTGATTTTGTTTTGATTTTTTGTTTGTTTGTTTTCGAGGGGCAGAGAGGTAGCTGGATATTTTAAAAGCAAGGCCGAGCCACCCTGTTGAGACAGGGCAAGCTAGGGTTATTAGGCAGTTTTAGGGACAGTGCAGGAGGGGACCTCTGAAGAATTTAGGGAGGCTTCAGAGATAAGGACAACCAAAGAAATATAACCAATTCCATTAGGAAAAACAAACATGCCAGGACCAAGGACAACATTGTTAACGCTGGTCCTGGTTTCCTTCAGGTGGTAAAGGGAGGCGGAGATTGGAGAAATGGAGAGTGGTTTAATTTATGGACACATTAAAAGGGCAGCTGTTTAACTTCAATGCAGGGATGCCCATCCAGAAGACTGGGCCATAAATTTAAAAATGCAACAAATGGGGAAAGAGAAAGCTGTTAGATAAGGAATGTGAAGATCCCCACTCAGTAGCAAATTGAGTGAGACAGCCGAGAACAGACCAATCACAAAGAGACTGGTGGAGCTTTAGAATAATGAGGGAAAAAAGGTCTATATTCCCTGAGACACGACTCCACTTTGGCTTCCTTGCCCCTCCCAGGCCTGGTTTCCTGGCCTGGGAGTCCCACTTTATTTCTGCTCGTTTTCTCCTCAATAAACTTTTTCTTTCTATAAACGAACCTGCCTCTTCTCGCTTGCTTGCCTGAGCGTCTGCGAAGTTCCTGCTGCGGCTTCGTGAGACACCAACCCGTGGGGGTCTAGTGGCTGGGGCTCAGCGCTGCCCTGCAGCCTGGGATCCGTTCCTGGCTGGGAGACTAGGCCTGACAATTCTGGTATCACTGTCAAGTCACCTGTAAACATTGGCGATGCCCAGGAGAAGACCCTTTATGTCGCCCTCATGACATGGCCAGTGCCAGCCCTTGTTCCAGTTTTGGGTTGCCACACGCCCGCCAGGCTGGCACCCTCCATGAAAGAATTGGGTGAGGGCTCAACGCAGGCCAGCAGCCTGGTCAGCTGTTCCCAGAACCCATTTTGCCTGTGGCCGGAGGCTGCAGCCCTGAGGCATTTGCTCCCCCAGTCCCACCACCCCCAGACCCCCGGCCTCACACTGGGCCTCTGCCCCACGGAAACTACCCCCCCAGGTCGCCGAGCCCCAATCCCTCAGGCCTGGGCTGGTGGCGAGACCAGATCCCAGCAGCCTGGGCAACCTCTGCTCCCTGTCGGTGCAGCCTCGTTCAGGGTGCGCTCCCCGCAGCTCCCAGCCTCCCCCACCACAGCTTTTCGCCTGGAGCCTCTTACACCCATTTCAGCGAACACAGGACACAAATTTGGTTATTTAGATTTAGAACAAAACAGGCGGCCCAGCGCCATCAGACCACGGAAGAGGCGGGCGCCCAGGCGTCAGGCCCGGGCCGCCCTCGTGCGCCACCTGCTGGCGGAAGCGAGCGGCGTCTCCGGCCCGAGCTGGAGCCGAGCGCCTGGGGCCCGCGTCTGGAGAGGCAGGAAGGGAACCCCCCGCTGAGATGGTTTCCCATTCTCAGGTCAGGTAGGTGTTCAGGTGACTCTCCTCAGGGAGCTACCTGGGGTCCGTGGGGAACCCCGGTGTTGCTGATGGCCGCTCGCCCCCCCACCTTGACCTGGGTCCTGCACCCCCAGGGCCAGCACTGGTCCCCAGCTCACTCTCCCTTTCGGCTGGGGCGCTGGGGTGGGGCCCCTCAGGGCCGTGGGAGAGGCCCTAAGATGCGCCATCTGGCCTGGGGAGGCCTTGTGTTGCCTGCCCCCCAAGACCAACAGGAAGCAGCTCCCCACACCCTGCCCTCTGGGCACCTGGCTGAGCGAGGCTGCCTTTAGATGCTCGGCCTGGAGCAGAGTCCGGGGGCACACCGCCAGCCCCCAAGGGACTGGGGTGAGAGAGAAGCACCCCCTTCCCTCTGGGGACAAAGGGGATGGGAGTCACCAGCTCTGCTTTCCCCCAAAGAAATCTTCACAAACACTTTTTGAAAATTCTGACTGTGGCTCTTTTATACCCTCCTGTGATGGAGTCTGAGGGTTCCTGGACCCTCCTTTTCCAGTTCTGCGGCAGTTTGGCGGGGACCCTGCAGGGCCACACCCTGGGGCCTGAGCTCCTGGCTGGGGTGTCCCTTCCACATCTGGGGACACAGCAAGACTTCTCGTCCTGTGCTTTGTGTGCTGAGCCATTTTCCTGGGTATCTCTTCCTAGGAGGGGCCTCTGGCTTCCTGGGGTGCCCGTTGCCTCACTGAGTTTTGCCCGGTCATCCTCAGTCTTGGGCCAGCAGAGCCCCCTTGTGCTGCTTCATCTGCATAATGCAGCTGTGGGAGGGGCCCCCCCGCCCCACTTTTGAAGATGAAGAGGCAGCAGGTCAGAAAGTTAGAGGGACAGCAGGCCCCTGACTCCAACTGTGGAAGCGGGGCTGGGGGAGGGTGCTGGGGGCAGCGGGAGGGCAGGCACCCTGGTGGAGGATGGAGGATGGTTAGGGCTGGGTGGTGAGGTCGCGGGCAACTGAAGAGGCATGAACCCGGGCCCCTCTGTCGCATGCAGTGTTGCTGACCCACAATTAATAATAATAATAGTAATACTAATAATAATAAGGTTTTAAAAGAAAGAGGAAGTGCTTGCAGGCTGGCGGGAGGCAGCGCCATGGGTGACCCGGTTCGCCCGAGCTGCGTCCTGAGCCCCGTCTCAGACCCTGTCCTGCAGTTGCTACTCGCGGGTCCAGACCATGTCGGGAACATGTGGGGCCCCGACACGCATGGGCGGCTCGGCCAGAAAGCAGCTGGTTTCCCGGGCTCGCCCACGGCTGAGCACGGACACTTGGGCTCCGAGAGGCTGGTGGCCCATCACGCCAGAGTCATGAATCCTGGGAAATGCGGGCGGAGACGGTTACC